CGAGCTCTAATCTGTTAATTATCTCGTCCAAAAGGTTGAGTTTTTTGAAAATTCCTCCGGAATTCCAGGACCCTATGCGTAGATCTTCCGTGTGGTTTGCTAACATTGTTGGTTTATTTCTCCGAATGCAGCCATCATTTTTGTTGCCCTGTCCATAGCGGCCATCATCTCCATCATGCTTCTGTTGTATTCCATCTGGAATGAAGTAATGAGTGCGGCTGCACTTTGCATGGTTGGGGCCGCTTGTTCGGCGGTTTTTTTAGCTGCTTGTGCGTAGCTAAACCCGGTGGTTGTTGTGGTTGGGTTGATTGGTCTGCTCACCGGTTTTACGGGGGCAGGGGCCTTCTTTTTTGGAGCCTTTGAGCATCCTCTGTAGTTCGCCGTATGTGCTTGTTCACAATTGGCGCATTTTGGAGCCGTTTCCATGCTTTTTCCGCACTCATTACTTAGGTGATTTTCACCACACCTTACACATCTGGATTCGCAATGGCAAGCCTTAGAACTGTGATAGTAGCCCTGGCAGTTAAAACACTGCAGGGTGTCTTTCGTGGTTTTGATCTCGTCTTCAAAACGGATCTTCATGTAGCACAAGTTTGTAATTTTTCTTATTTTTGGCATGTCATCCTCTTTGAGGGTGATCATGAAGAAAGGCAGTATGTGTTTTCCTTCTTTTTTAGAGTACATGTTTGTTACTCTAGTTGCTTCGACGTTTCTATTTCTTAGTTCGTTAAGAATTAGTTCGGTACTTGTGCTCGATGCGAGCCCTTTTAGTATAACCCTTTTCAGCTTGTCGCTGTCTATTGGATAGGCAACGTATTCTACTTTCGGGGTGTGTTCTTCTAGGATTCTTACGACTCCTAGATAGTCTTCCCGGTTCTTTGTATTTATGATAATAGATCTACCAGATCTGGCAAATTTATTATCAGAAATAATACCTTTTGCTGCTGCTTTTTGCAGGATTGCTTGGTGTTCCGCAACCGTCTTTAAGATGATTGCGGGAGGTTTTGGCTTTCTGACGTTAACCTCGGAAGGTATTTGAGGGTTGTCGGTGGTTTCTTTATCAACTTGGGGCTCTTTTGTTGCCTCCAAGTTTTTCTGGGCTTTTTTCTGCTCACTTCTTTTTTGGGTGTCTCTAGCAGCTTTTGTGAGCGCCTCATCGTTTCTCTCGTTGATTCTCTGAGTTTGTCTCTCAACAACACTCAGAGATTTTTTTGGTTTCTCACTACTGTTTGTTGATTTCTCAGTAGCGGTGCCTTTTGCTTTTTCTTTTTTCTGGACTTTTGTCCATCCTGCTTCGCTTTGTTCTTTTGGTTTTTCTTTTTCTGCTACTACCTTTTTTGGTTCTTTGGGCTTACCTCCGCTACCCGACGTAGAAGGTGTGGCTATTATCATTGGGTTGTTGGTTATTTCCCAGATGGTGTCATTTCTTTTTCTCTCTTCTCGTTCTCTTTCTTCGTTGCTTTTGGTCAGGGCCATTATATGGCTGACCAGCTTCTTGATCTCTTCGTCCTTGGCTTTGTTTTCATTTCTGAGCTCAGTCATCTGAGCTAAGAGATCTTTAATTTGGGCGTTTGCCTGTTGTTCTCGTTGGCGGCTCTCTTCTTTTAATTGCTTTATTTGCTCGGTTAGCAGATCTACCGATTTATAAAGCTCGTTATCGTGCTTTTCCTTGCTCCTTTTTATTTCTTCCTCATCTTCTGAGGAGTCTGCTGTAGGCCTTTGCCGTTTTTTCTTTCTGCCTACCTCCGGCTCGGCATCCGTTACGGTGGAGATGGTGTCCACTATGGGGGCTATTGCGTCGTTTGTAGGGGCGTGGTTGTGTTCGACTCGGTGGCCGGGCTCAGCTCCTCGTCGACGGAGATTTCCATTGTGGTTGATACACTGTCATCAGTGTCAACCTCACTATTTTCTTCTACGTCGTCCGGAATGAACGATTCGTCATCTGAATTATCGGCGATTAGCGCGGCTTCAGGTTTTAGGGTCTTAGTAAAATCATTATAAAGTTTAATTGCCGATGCGACAGAGGGGGTGGGTGACGTAGGATTGTCACCTTCTTCTTTTTCTTGTGATGCCACGTGCGTGACATCACTTTTTTGGGGAGAGGGGTCACTCATAATGCCGTAAGGCAGTGAACATAAGTGTTCAAAAGACTTGGGAGTTTACTACACAGATGACTCTGTTTTTGTCTTCCCGCCTAGCCGCTGCCAGACGGTTTTCCTGGGTGTCGTCCCAGCAACCTCGCGGTAGCTCACTCCCTGATTTCTCAGGGAGGGATCCTCTTCACGTTTCACAAACCTCAGAGGCAGGGGCCGTTTCTGTCCGACCTAGAGTTCAAAACTAGGCCTTACAGTGTCATCCCTGTCGGCCCACTGAGGTTATCCCGTATATTTTCGCAAACGCGAAGCTATTTAAAGCCTCCGCGAGGGGCCTATAAAGGCAACCCCTCGGCGGTTTAACTTAAAAACAGCCTCGCATCCGCTCTTCGCTTTGGTAAAGGACAAATGCCTGTGCAATCTGGGTGTCTTACTCACCCGGAGCTAACAAGCTCCGTTGCGTCAGGTCAATCGCCCCCACCTAAGCACACTTCGCTGCTCGTCGCCTTCGCTCGCTGCTCACCGCTGCACGTCAGGTTCGTTCGACCGCTGGAGTCGAACTTTAATTAAAACAAACATTGCAAAAGCAACGAAAAAGATGTATCCAATTAGTGTGAGGACTGTGGTCGATCGGCTTCATCCACCAATGAAGAAATGTTCAGTTTCTCCAGTTCAGTTGTAGACACTCTCATAAGATGACGTAAGGAAGAATCGGTAAGGTTGCTTCTGTTTTTATTTTTTATGTATTTCATGGAGGAAAAGGCACTTTTACATGTATATGTGCTTCCAAAAATTGACGTCATTTTCAGTCCAAAATCTCGCAGGTTTGGGAATTTCTCCTTTGACAGTAATTTGAAAAATGCAGGTCCCTTTTCTTGTCTGGTGCTTAAGAACATGTTTGCTTGAAGATCACACAACTCAAGCTGTAAGTTGGGTAGTTGATTTTCAATGGTTGCTTCAAGAGGTTTATTATAAAGTAGTACACCGCTTTTGACACTTTCAATTTCTTCAAATCTTGTATTGAATTCATCAATAACTTGTTCAATTTGTGAAATGCAGGATAAAGACTCAATATTTTCCTCACCGTTGAATTCTTCTGCTATTTGCAGACAGCTAGGGAATTGTGTCAGGCTGTTCTTTTCCAAAGCAAGTTTAAACACGTTCAGCTTATTCCGGAATCCGTTTATCATTTCGATCAAATCTGAAACCGTCTGGTTTCTTCCTTGAAGACTCAAGTTTAACATGTTAATATGAGTAGTCAGATCTGTTATAAAAGCTAACTGTTTAAGAATTCTGGATCTTTAAGCTTCTCTTCCAGTTCAGTTGTGTCAGATAAAACGTATTTGTTGAGGAATGAAGGGATTTCTTTTGTTATGGCAAAAAATCGTTCCATGCACTCAGCTACCTTACATGGTTGTACATTAGCAAGTCTCCATACTCAGCCTCTGTTTCCACTAAAAATTGTTTAAGTTTCCTGTGTAAAAGAGATCGATCTCCACCTCTAATTATATTTATAATCTTAATCACGGTTTGGAAAACTTGATCTTCCTTGACTGATTTTCCACATAAAGCTCGCTGATGTATAATACAATGAATTGTTGGGCAAGTGACACCATTCTCTCGAAGCAAATCCACTAATCAAGTTTTTTTACCTGTCATTGATGGGGCCCCGTCTGTTGCTATGGCTGAACATTTATCAAATCCTTCAAATAATGCGCACAAATATTAACAGCTGACTAACATCGGTTTGATCAGTGCTTTCATCCAAACGAAGTGAGAAATATGAACTTCTCTTAACAAGGCTACGCATAGATTTTTCTACTTGCTCACCCATAGCAACAATTCTCCCTGTATGATTTGATGTGAAAGTGGCACTGATTCAAATTTCTCCGCCATTTTAGAATCACCAAAATCTTTGGCCATTTCAACAGCACATTTTTTAATCAAATTGCCATCAGTGAAAGGTTTTTTTGCCTTTGTCAGCTCAAGTGACACGACATAAGATGCATGCAAAGAATTGGTTCGAGAGTGTAATATTTTACTGAACATACAAGTTTGCTGTTGAAGCTTTTTCTTTAAATCTGCAACTAGGGCACGCCGACTTTCATTTGTGTACGTAGCATACTTATTTTCATGCACTGTTGTTTAATGTCTTCTCACATTATATTCTTTAGGCACTGAAACGACATTCATGCACACTAAGCACTGCAACTTTCCATTATTGTTAGCAATCAAGTAATCACTCTCCCAACTTTCTTTGTAAATTATGTTCTCACTATCAATTTTCCGTTTTTACACGTTACTGGTTTTACACTCATTATTGTATAAGAGGAATCACGACAAAGAATTAATCAAGTTCACTGTTCACTAGCAACGTAATAGATTAGCCGACTAACCTACGTGTCAGTAGCACACTGGCACGATGGCGGCTAACGACGGATGGTAAGAAGTGGGAGGTGTGGCCTGTGCGAACTGTAAGCGACACACGGTACAGTACTTGTGATGTAAAAACACTGCTAAACCATAAAATATAAAATCAATTAAAAAATCTTTTTTTTACAGTGGCAGCATTTAAAGAAAATATATGCTTTTCGAAAATCTTAAGTGGGTCACAACAAATAGCCTCGCGGGTCGGATGCGGCTTGCGGGCCGCCAGTTGAACAACCCTGCTCTACAACGTCAAATATCACTATTACGTAAGCGGCTATGACTATTTAAAAAGTCTGCGTCCATTTATTTCCTTCCTTTGTTGTTGTTGTTATTTGTTTGTTTTTATTTAAATTTCACTATTATAAGTATAACCGTTTAAAAAATGCGAAAAGGGGGAGAAACTTTGAGCTATTAGTGTATGCATCTCAGTAAACATCCCTTGTTTGAGGAATAAAAAAAATTAATAAAAATTCTTACCTCAAAATTTAGTAATGAATAACCAACACCTAACGTTTTTTCATCAGCTGTCAAAATTCCCTTACAAATCTTATTTAGTAATGTAAAATATTTGTGAATCGTTTGAAGCAACGTTATTGCATTCTCGAACTCTTCATTCAGGAATGTCTCTACGATAGAATTTGTTACTGGTTTAATTTCAGTTGTCATTCTGATAAAATTTTGACCCTGATTTAACTTTTTCCAAAGCGAAAGGAAAGGTAGTAAACCTTTTTGGAATGTTTCTTGGTGGAATTTTGTAGAAACACTTTTTCGTAAATAGAAATCTGCAAATAAAAGAACCCAAAATAGTTATAAAGGAGCTACGTTTTTATTTTCACTATTAAATTTTTAGAACAATAATTTTTTTTAATATATGATACATGTTACATGATGCTTTGGCATCTAGGGCGGAAGCTATTTCCAAAATTCAGAATTAAAACAATTTTGTTTTGGTTGCCTTGAAAGACAATTGTAATGATCTATTTTATTTATCTCACAAAAAATGAGAATTTTAATTTGGAATAAATAGTTCAAAGTAAATCAATGCAACGTCTTTGTTGGAGAATACTTATTCCGATATTAGTTCAATTTTACAATAAGAATCTCCGTCAGATTATAGATAATAAAACTTAATTTGTTTTTAGCACGAACGATCAGTTTCGATAATTATTACAGTAACTACCAGAAAAGAAGAAAAGCTCGGGTTCGTTCGAAGAACTATTTCTGTGAGATTTTGTTGCATATTCACTTTCATGAGATACCCTAAAATAAAATAAGGTTAAATAGCTCGCCCAGACGAAAAGTTATTAAAAGTTTTTAAACAATTTTTTGTTAAAAAAATTGTAATAATGAGTTTTTTTCGGCATGGATAACGAATATTTTTTTGAATTTTGAACAATTCTGAATAAAATAGGTCTTTTGTCATTTTTCTGAATACTTAATCGTTTTTGAGTTATAAATAATTTAAAACTAAACAAAACGCAAAATTATGATTGTCATGGCTCAAAAACATAACTAAAATTATTATTTCTTCAACCTACCACAGACCTAAAGTCAAGTTCAAACATGTCTAGTTCTATCATTTCCTGGTAAGTATTTTAGGCTTATTTTATCACAGGACGGGCCCAGATTTTTACCGGTTTGAAATTTGTCCGCCCTGCTTTGCGAGGTTCATTTACAATTAAAAACAATGTTTTAAAATAAAATCAGCCTTGAATTTTCATATATATATATATATATATATATATATATATATATATATATATATAAGCCTATTTAAGACATAAGAACTTCATTTTTCTAATGTAAATTTTTTATGTTAATTTTTAGTATGTTTTGAAAAAGAGTAAAATAAACTCGAAAGCTTAGCAAACCTAAAAGAGTTTTACTTAAAGGCCAATATATTGACTACTAAACCCAATATATCCGTATATATATATATATATATATATATATATATATATATATATATATATATATATATATATATATATATATATATATATATATATATATAGAAGAAGGCTTGAACTTGAATTTAGGTACTTGATAATCCTAAAAATATCTAGAAACAATATTGTCATTGTAAGCCTTGAAAATTGTAATTATTCGCTTTTTTTTTTGGTTTAACATTACTCTTAACTCGAAAACGATCAATTTTAGAGAAATCTTACAACAAATCTTTTTTTATCATAATCATCTAAAAAACCTAAAAAAGAACCTAATAAACCGCGCCTAACTGGACTGGCGCTCATTTTGTACAATAAGAATTTAAACCAGCAGAAATGTGTGTCATAAATCTTGTAGCTCTCTTTTATACACGCCAAAGCCCGTCATGTTAAATGCGCTTCATTAACGGTTAAAAAACAATATTGTAGAATGAAATAAACCAAAAATCCGAATCCAAACAGAAAATTATACAAAATTTGAACTTAAACTATGGTCCTAGGTGAAACAAAAAATTTTGTTTTTAGTTGTGTTTTTGAGTCTTGAATATCGTAATTTTGAGATTTTGTCAGTTATACATTGTTGATAACTCGAAAACAATTAAGTTTACAGAAAAATTACACCCTATGTTGTTTAAAATAGTCCATAAAATTAAAAAAAAACAGTCCGGTCTGAAAAAATTGATTGTTACAATTTGTTTAAAATAAAATTATTTCAAAAAAAATTGAACAACCTTATTTTTGTGTGTTTTCTGTAACTAAAGTATTCGTTTTATTTCTGATTTATTTTTAGTAGTTTTCAGCCTGTGGTGTATTACAAGAATAATAAGATAGCGTGGGCAGGATTTGGAAAACTGAGTTGGATCTAGAAAAGCACTAAAATAGAACAATATTTGAAAACCAGAATTTACGATCAGGGTATCCTCCCTATACTCACGTATGGCTCACAGACGTGGACACTCACTAAGTCTAACATGGATAAAATAGCAAAAGCACAAAGAGCGATGGAAAAATCAATGCTTAGGGTGCGAGGTATAGACAAAAAATCAAACAAATGGATTAAAAGCAAATCGAAAGTAAAAGACACAGGAGAACATGCTGCCAAATCAAAATGCAGCTTTGCAGGATACAATGCCCGACTGAAGGATAAGAGATGGAACCACGAAATACAACAATGGAGACCATGATTAAGAAATAGAAGCAGAGGAAGACCACAAATAAGATGGGCGGATGATATTAAGAAGATCGGAAGACACAACTGGAAGCAAGTGGCGCAAAATAGAAGACACTGGATTGATTTGGGGGATGCCTATTTCCAAAGTTGGAATACTTAAGACTGAAGAAGAAGAAGATGCCTGTGGTGTTTGTTTTGTTCTGTATTGTAAAAAAGCTCTTACCTTTTCTTTACATTTTATCTTCACTTGCTCGTAAAACCATGGCGATTTTTTTAATATGTTAGTTTTCGTTACTTTCCTCTCTGCAAGTGATTCTGTTGCTGGGTTGTTTGAGTTCTTCCCAGCTTTCTTTTTTGAAAAGTGGGATTCTTTATATAGGAACGCAATTATAATACTAATTTTCAACTCAAACAAAAGACCACTTACCACTGAAGAGGTTGCCCATAAAAAGCCAATACAAAGCTTAAAAATACTAACACCAGGAACTCATCAAACTTATAGTGAGCTTGACAAGAATGATGGCGATGCCCAGCTACAATCACTGCATAGAATTTTACTTCTTGTCAGGTAAAATGAGACCATGTCTTACAACTGGTCTCAAGGCGTGATACGCTTGTTACATTAAAAAGTAGATTAGCTCCAGTGTGACTACTCTAGAGGTATAACCCCAATAACAGCTGCTCACAAAATACTAGTAAATATTTTTTAAGAAAGGCTACGAGTTTACACAGTTAGCATAGTTATAAAATATCAGGTCGAATTTACTGCAGAAAAATCAACAATCAATAAATATTGACAGATTCCTTCAATAAGACAAATTCTCGAGAAAATATTAGAATTTAACATTGGAACTCATCAAGGCCATCAAGTAGTGTTTAAGTGACCACTACCAGATGAACAGATATTGTAACGTCCATTAAAACACAGTGACTCAGATAGGCTAGAGACATAATAAGAATCTTCTTCTTCCTATGCCGTCCCCATTAACGGAGGTTGGCGACCACATTTTTAAAAGCTTCTCTGTCTTTTGCAACGTGGAATAATTCGTCTACAGTCATGTTTGTCCAGTCTCGAATATTTCGCAGCCATGACTTCCTCTTTCTACCTATTCCCTTTTTGTCATCGACTCTACACTGCATGATGACCTGCAGAAGACTATATTTATTATTTCTTAGTATGTGTCCAAGGTATGCAGTCTTGCGTACTTTTATCGTTCTCAACAATTTTTGACTCGACCCATTCTTCTCAGCACTTCCTCATTGGTGACCCTGGCAGTCCATGGGATTCTCAACATTCTCCGGTGTATCCAAAGATCAAAGGCTTCAATATTTTTAACTATTTGCGCTTTTAAGTATAATAAGAATGTCTGATATGATTACTAAAAAGCTAGAAATAGGAACACCTATAGGAAGAAGACGCAGATGCCGACAGAAAATTAGATAGTTAGATAGTGTTAAGGCCGATTTAAGCGATACTAGAGATAAGAAGATGGCACACACGTTGCCAGAAACCAAACAGAATTCCGACGAATCTTAGTACCCAGTAAAGGATCCTAGTAAAGGACCTAACCTAGTAAAGGATCCCCAGAGAATTGTCGAGCCAAAGATGATGATAATGATGTACAGAACTGGATGCAGGGAAGTTAAAACAGAAGAGAAAAAACATATGCATGTGGCGGAAAAGATAATGCTTAGATGGGGTGGTAAAAAAGACAAAATTAAAAGTATAGGAGTGCAAGTCCAAAGGTTGCACAAAATGATGCCAAAATTAGAGCATAGTTTTGTCGTGTTTAACATCGAGATGTTAAACTCCAAATACAAACAATTGCTGATCTCCGAGTTATTGGGATGAGTAGAAGAGAGGAAATAAAGAAGACCTGGGGAGAGACGCCTAGGCAGGAAATGTAATTAGGTTAGCCGATACCGCATAGCGACTGCAAATTAAGTTTTTGCTCTTATTTTTTGTTTTTTGTTTCTAAATGTCCTTTCTGCCAATATTTGCATTATAATCCCCTAAACGTCTAAAAGCACGTAAATTATTTATAACTTCTATAACTATAAATTTATAAATATTTCACTGTGTCAGATAGCAGTGGTGACAAAATACATCTCTGTTCCACTCTTCTTCAATTTAAACTTTCAGCTTTTAACTTAAATTTAGGTTCCAAATTATTCTCATATTATTACTATCTATATAATAATTTTAAACACTGTCTTATAGCTTATTATGATACACTTCGTTCTTAACATTTTTAGTAGTTATGAAGCAGCCTTTTAAAGTCATATGTTATTTTTTTTTTCAAAAAAAAACAATTTTATATCCATAAAACTTACTTTTTAGTTCTGATGTTATTCTATGTGATATTTGTTTTTCCCAAGCTTTGTTAATATTTTCCGCTAGTCCAAACAAGGATGGTTTATCCGCTGAAGGAAATTGTTTAATCATTTTTATGTATTCCTAAAAACAAATAAATAAATTGATTTTTAATAATTATGTCCTTTACAAGTTTTGTCTTAATGTCCTTTTTTTAACAGAAAAACAATGAAATAAATTACACTAGTGAATATTGTTTGGAAGCTATTTTCTTGTGGCATCTTATCCTCAAGTTGTCAGAGACAAAGATGAAACTGAACCTGTAACAATCATACGAACAGAAGCGATTAATTACAGGGACCCGATCCGTCAATTGCGCATGTGCGAGACGACCTCGTCCGAAATATTTCGAACCTTCAAATGAAAATGTTAACGGTATCTTGCCTTGTCGTCTTGTCGAATATTATACTTTGATATTGTTTTAACACAGGTATAAAATCGCAGCGTAGAAAATTATTTTGTAATTAGTAAACATGTCAGTGAACTGTTTTAATTGTGGTAAAACTTTTTCAAATCAATCTAACTTAAATAAACATATATCAGTATAAATAAATATGTGTGCTATTTTACTGAATCCATTTTAAATTTATTTTTATGTATAATTAGAGGAAAAGAAAGAAGAGAAGAAAATGCATAGTATACTCGAACACAAAAAAGTCAGGGTTCTTGTAAATTGAACAGAAATTGTACCAGTCAGATAATAATTACTTTAGTAACTGGAACAGGGTTTTGTAGTATGACTTATTGTAAGACTCATTATGGACATGAAGAGGATATGCAGCACATGAGACTCTCTAAACTCAAACGCGAAAGTGTTGCTGCCAAATTAATTGCAGGTGTTTCAGTATCGCAGTAAGTTTTTAATAAGCAATTTTGTCTTTTGTTTGTCAACCAATTTGCTTTTAGCATTTTAAATTCTACGAGGGACAACATTGGATGTTCATTGAAAAGAGATCACTTATTAACGAGGATGGACATTAATATTGTGATGCGTTCTTATAACATAGGTCTGAAGGATGGGTGCCGTCACAAACAAGATGCAGCCAGTGTCGAATTATGGATTCAAGAAATGACTGGAACCGAAAATAATTCTGTAGTATTTTATAAACCTCAAAATTCTGAATGTACTGCATACAATTTAGAAAATAATGACATTTGTTTAATATTAATGAGTCCAGTTCAAGCAGAGCTGTTAAAAAAATTTGGTCAAGATATCTTATATGCGTAGATAGTACACATGGCCTCAATGCATTTGATTTTGAAATGACTACAGTTCTGGTCATTGATGAATTTGGAAATGGATTTCCAGTAGCTTTTTTATTTTCAAACCGAAAGGACTCCTACATTAATGAAGTTTATTTTACAGAAATTATGAAAGTTGTTGGGAAAATCTGTTTTATGTCGGACATTACTTCAGTTTTTTATGTCCCTTGGCAAACAATTATGGGTACCCCACTTAAACAGTTATATTAATTATGGCACATCGATCGTGCTTGGCAACAAAATTTGGGGAAAGTGTCAGACGTAGAAAAAAGAAAATGGGTTTATAAGTCATTGAAGTATATACAATGATTACTGGATGAAGATCAGTTTATTTCTGATTTTAATAAATTTTTAAATCTTTTATTATCTGATGGCGAGACCAAGAAGATGAGTGATTATGTAAAAACACATTATGAAAAAAAATGTGGAACAGTGGGCTTATTGTTACCGAAAAAATTGTCCTGCAAATACAAATATGCATTTAGAGGCTATGCAGAAAACAATTAAACATGTGTATTAAGAAGGGAAAAAATTAAAAAGTATGGGTAAAACGTTGCACTGTTTACAAAGATTTATAAGAGATAAGACCCTTGAGAGAATTATAAAAATTACAAAAAATAAAAATCATCATCACTGCAGTATGATAAATGCTAGACACAGAGCTGCATTAACATTGGAGGTACAAAATGTAGAAGTATTAGGAAATAGAGAAGATGGAATCTTTTATATAAAAACTGCCGATGATTTTCATATAATTAATAAAAGGCAATTCGACAAATGTTGTCACCTGATGTGCACTTTTTGTAACATCTGCATACATATGTGTGAGTATTTGTGCATAGACTATGCAATAAAATTAACCGTATGCAAGCATATACATTTTGTTTGTTTAAACTTCAACAAATCAGAAGTGGAAGTGAATAGAAATGGACAAAAATTTGAAAACCCAAATATTGAGACCGAAGTGATAGCACTGCTTCAAAATGTCCCATCCTCTACCATCTGTGTTGCAGACAAAAAAAAAGAAGCAACGGATCTGGCATTCCAAATAATTGAAAAATTACAAAGTGACCATTTAAACATTGATCAATTAGAACTGATTACCAAACATTTAAAAGTGGCTGCTTCTGTAGGATCTCTGAGCTGTGCAAAACCATTAGCTGAGGAATTTATTATCAAATTGAAGGAAGATGTACTAATTAGAAGATGTAGAAATTAATACCTTCTAATAAAAAAATTGAAAGACAGGCTTTCATCTCAACGAGGAAGAAAATTAAAGCTAAAACAATCCGTATGAAGAAACCAGATGTTGTTGAAAAACGTATAATAGACGATACACTTTATTCAAAATTGTATATATCAGGTGATGTTTCTAATGACCATGTTTATACAAAATTTGAATATATTGTTTGATATGCAAACTATTTTTTATTTTAGTTATAATTATTTTCACACAGGTAGTACAAAATATATACACATTTTGTGCTCCATATCTATGTTAAAGAAGGATGAATTTTATTTTATTCAGTCTGCCACCATAAGGTTTATATTTGAGGCATTTCATATCAGAATTAACAAAACTCCAGTTCTTATTAAAATTGAGATTTTCTTTGAATGATAAAATTGAGAAGGAATTGTATGGTGTTCTCTTTTAGGACAGCTGTATACTAGTGTAAGTATGTACTTAGTGTACTAGTTTAAGATACTAGTAAAAGTGGAACCTGTTTATCGATAGGATTTGTTTGAATATAAATCACTCACAAAAAAGAATAAAAATATGGACCAGTATTGTCCTGGTATAATACCAAAGAATAGTTTACTATGATTCTACAACAAAATAAACAATATTCAACAGTTCATATTAATAACCACGAGATTAAAGTGGTTTTCTTTCTTATTACTGAGAGTACAAGTTATTTATTCTTTATATTTTAGTTATGAATGGAACAACTATGTACCTGTAGAAATAAATATTTTAAAATTTCCGAGTTTTATGCCTAAATCGTTTTTATAAATTTGCCCAGATTATTTTAGGTGGGAGATTGTCACTTTTGATTGTGATGTCATTGTCATTTCAAAAAATACACATGCGCAGTTGACGGATCGGGTCCCTGTAAAAAATAGCTCCTATACGAACAAGCTGAATTTTGTTAGATATGTCAATTTTTGGACCCTACAAAAGCCCTACCCCTACCTTCTGACTTCCCCTAAAACCGCCACGTAGGGAAGAAAAAACAGAAAACATCGATTAACCAAGAATCTTTATGCTGTAGACAAAAACATTTCAAACAAGAAATGTAGCTAAAACAATTTTGAACAAAAATGTACATTAGCAGTTTTTACATAAAAGGAACTATTTCTATAGAAATAACGCTTGAAACGACCGGGAATTTTAAATGTCAGATAGACGTTTGGAACTAACATTCTAAATAAATTTTTAAACAACCAAACGGTAAACGTCTGATATCGTTTGATCAAAGTGACCTATCCATAAAAGCTAAAATGAGTTTTAAAAAAAGTAAAGTGCAGTTTTCGTTTGCAATTTTTGCAAAGTCAGTTTAAAGCCAGCAGAAACAAAATACATAAAAATAGGTACGCAACCACAAATACTATTGCCACTTGTTATAGAAAACGACGTCATCGAAGCAGTTAACGAATTTGTATACCTGGGAACGCTTTTCAATACTGAAAATGACACTACCGCAGAGATAAACCGCAGAATTTTCACGGCTAATAGATGCTATTTTGGGCTTAATCTTCTTTTTAAATCTACAGTTATATCAAAAAATTCAAAAGTAAAACTCTACAAAACAATAATACGCCAGTCCTAACATTTGGTTCAGAAACCTGGACTTTCAAAAAAAGCGATGAAAACATGTTAGGATGTTTCGAAAGAAATATACTAAGGCGAATCTATGGAGCGGTAAATAAAAATGGTGTCTGAAGAAGACGATACAACTTCGAACTCTATAGAATATACCAGGATCCAGATATCGTAAAACACATTAAGATAGGGCGTCTGAGGCGGATAGACCATGTAATGCGGATGGAGCAAACCGACCCAGCTAGAAAAATGCTTCTTGATAAACCTATTGGTCAAAGAAGAAGAGAAATATCCAGAACAAGATTCCTAGATAACATAGACCAAGATATAAGAAATATGGAAATACGTGCTTGGCGGAGGAAGGCGACGAATAGGGACGACTGGAGAAAAATTCTTGGAGAGGCTAGGACCCACACAGGGTTGTAAAGCCAAAATGATGATGCTTAAAGCCAGCAGTCTGAATAAAGGTAAAAACATGAAGATTAAAAAGATCAACTTAAGATTATAAGGACAAAAGAAAAAGCGTATTATCTATTAATTGACATAATATAAAAATCAAATACCTTGTATTGTGGCACATTTGGCACAGTAAGATTCAGTCCAAAAGGTTTCCAACGGTGGCTTATTACGTCATCAATAAAATACTGTTTAGTATAAGAATGCACAATTTTTAAGTCATCTATATTTTCAATTCTACCTCCGTACACGGCATCAGAGGTCAATCCAGATATAAACCGCCATGGGATTTGTGGGCCTTGATTACTCCAGAGATCTTCTACTAATTTTACGCTAGTAGAAAGATCTGTATCACTAAAATCGTAGTATTTTGACCAACCTAAAACATGAAATCTCAACTTTAACAAAGTGTGATATATTGTAATAATATATTATTAATTTTACAGGGAACACAAATTTTATTTATTAACTGTTTTCAGGCTGATAATTTCAAATATGAAATTATGTTTTCCCTGTAACCTATTACTTCGTAATATCGTAAATATTTTTTTTTTAATACATAGTCTTACAAAATTTTGACAGACAAAAATTTAAGGGGAGTTCGGCCCTGATAGCGATTAAATATACCACGTTATCAGCTGTCCCGAATTATATTCATTTTAAATGGTAAAAACAAATCATAATTTAATATTTTATACCTCTACTACAAGTTTAAGTGCATTAGTTAGTGCTGATAATATTATCACAAGTGAGCAGCACAAGAGTTGTAACAACAAAATAACCTTTAAATAATACCTACTTAAAAGATAACAAAAATCCCAGTTGGGTCTTGACCAGTTTTTTGGACCGGCCACAGGACCGGCTCAACTTCTGATCAAGAAAATAAATAAAATGACTTCATACAACAATAATACTACAAACAACTCCACTAAACACTTTTACTCAGATGTCGTAAATTAGTTCAAACATCCAACAAAACAACACGCAATAGTCATTTCCAGCATTGAAGGTACAAAAATCCATGATTACGTCGTTGGATCACTAGTGGGTCCAATTAATGTACTTTTTACCTCCAGAATTGCTAATAATAGGACATGCATATACCTCTATTCAAAAAACACCGTTGCTGCTCTTCTTCATTCTTATAAATATATCGAAATAAATGGATGTCAAGTCGAAGTAAGAAGATTAATTTCTCCACCCCAGAGACTTCTAATATCAAATGCATGTCCTACAATCCCGAACGAAATAATTGAACAAGAATTACAAAGACTTGGTATTCACACTGTATCCAGAATGACTTTTCTCAAGTAGGTATGTCTGAAAGTGAGTACAGTCATGTTCTGAGCTTTAGAAGGCAATCATTCATTACACCCTTGGAAAATATGTCTATCCCTGACTCTTTTACCATAACTCGTGATAATACTTCCTACCGTTTATTTCTCTTTATAGATGGATTCAGTTGATTCTCAAATGTAAAACCATTGGTCATCAAGAATCAGAATGCGTTCACATTTTAAACCAAACTAATTTAACTCCCCTCCCAGATTCAACTCAAACCACATCGTCATTATCTAAACCTAATGAACCTAATGATAAAATATATGAATCTACGGAAAACGACCTCATCCAAAACATATCAAAGGATAATTCAAACACTTCGTCTTCTTCCTCCAAAACAACATTACCAGCTGTAAACAACACTGAAAATACTACAGAAATCGACCTCATCCAAAACATATCTAAAGAAAATCCAAACACTTCGTCTTCTTCTTCCAAAACAACAGCACCAGCTATAAATGACACTGAAAATACTACGACACCAGAAACATCAATAACCTTAAATAATGCATTCAATTCTAAACAGCTAAAAAGACATAACATATCATCTCCTGAAATTATTGAAGATAACCCAACAACCCACTCATCCGTTTTTAATACTCCTAAACAACATAAATCAAAAAAGAAACCCAAAACCTCTTCCAAAACACCCCGCGAAGATGTCATTCACTCCATAGAATTCATCAAAGACAAAATCGAAAATAGATCACCTCCATTTATACTAAATTTCAATGAAATATGTGATTTTATGGAAAATGTTTTAAACTCTCGTAACCCTAAATTAACTTCCAAAGATTACTCCAATGAACCAGAGGAACTAATTCAGATCCTTAACTTTGTTTATTATTACACACAAAATTCTAGGTTAAGAAATAATATCTCCCGACTAAAGAAAAAAATAAACCCTAACCCTTCTTCAGCTGACGATACTGACGAATCATCACTAGTTGAAGGATAATCAAGGGATGACTAAATCATTTATAGTGCAATGGAACATAAATGGGTTTTATACCTATTATGAACAGGTAAAACTATTAAACAACCAGCTTTCTCCTTTAATTCTTTGCCTTCAAGAAACCCACTTCAAACAAAATAACATAAATTTAAAAAATTTTCAATGTTTTAAAAAAAATCGAAAAACTCAACAAGCTAGTGGCGGAGTAGCTATTTTCATCAGAGCTGATTTGGAAGATAAACCGATCGCGCTAAGTACTAATCAGTCTCTATCAGTTTTTGGTATTAAAGGATATGTTTAGGGTTATCCACCATAAATTCCCTGAGGTGGGTCATTCATACCTCGATTCAGACCGAAATTTTGGGCGAATAGAAAAAAACTACATAAAGTTGAAATCATCTATGTGCCTGAACAATATAGTAATCTTATCAAGTCCTCGAGCACTAAAAATAGTCTTGTTGTGAATATGGAAAATTATCTTTATGATTTTAAAGAGTTACCAGCAAAGTTACATCTGTTTAACAGGAAAACAAACCTGACAGGAGACAAAGTCAATTTTAGGGACGACGTTAAGTGGATAAGAGGAGACGAAATTGGTAGCTACCTGTACAAAACTTCAGTAGATAAATTTTCACCTCTTCAAAAGGTAGACCTATTAAAAAAAGGAAGCAGGGTAGTAACAAACGAAGATCACGTCACACTGAGACAAATTTAAGAAAAAAGGTATTAGCTCCGAAAAAAAAACAATTTGCGCGAGCAGCTAGCATTTGTTAAGGATGAATATAAGTGGTATTACGAAAATAATATAGGAGATAGTCAAGAAAACACAAAGAAAATAAGGAAAAATAAATAGTAATTAGTAAATGTAGCATATAATTTTTTTTTACAATGTTCTGTTTTTGAAAAGACAATATTTTTTGATACATAGCCTCTTTTTTCATTTCCCACCTATACTACCAGCAGTTGATTTTTTTTTGTATAAATGTGTTATGTACATTCAAAGTCTATTTTCATCAAAATTATAATGCCTTCTTATAATTTTATAGTTACTTTAAAAAACTACAATTATACATACAAAAACATCTTGATATCATTTTAAATCAGAAACAGCACAAGGAAGTTTCAGTTATTAAACTTTAAACTCATTTTTCTGGAAATAATGATTTTTTATCCACTAATGTCTTCATGTATATAAGTACCCCTAATATAAATGAATAAATAAAAAAAACCTACCTTGCGGAATATATTTTCTCCTTTCTTGAAATAACGCATGCACGCAGGCTAACACGAAAAATATTTTTGCAGAATTGGCATTTAACTTGTCAATATACTTTTCTCCAAACGTAGCGAAAGTTCTTAGAATGTTATTTTTTATTCCTTGTGATGTTTCGTAAACCACTTTTAAGCTATTTTGTGCCAAAACGAAGTTAAAATTTGGAGTAGGTTCGGACACCAACCACAATCTGGAGAAGAATTTAATAAAAAAAAGAGGTTATAAAACAAGATATTGAAAGATATCCTATACTATGAGAGTTATATTTGGCATAATATAAAAAATAATAATAGAAATATTCCAGACCTTTCGACATGATTTTTGTGACCAAATTATATTAAAAAATTTCAAAATAAATGCTTATCTATGCACAGGTGTTTATATCCTTGTTTGTGTTTTTCAGACATATTTAGAAATTTCTCAATTGGATACAAAAACATCAAAGACATATTTGATTGTTGCATATTTATCAATTCATTTTCTTTATTTCCTTGGTTCAAAATTGCCTTATCTTCGGAAGGACACAAGTTGTTGGAATCTGTTGCTCGGCAAAATATTTATATTTTATTAAAGGACAACATAAAGTTGGATTTCGGTCCCATAATACACATATTGGCTCTCTAGCAGGCTCTAGAAATAATTGGTAAACCAATAAATGACTTCAGTTATTCTTGCAAAAAGAAAAATAGGCTGTCTCATTTATTGCATATCATTCGTCTTTTCTATTCGTCTCCAATAAAATCGTATTCATAATATCTTGAGAAAAAAATAATTCAAAGGCATATTTTATGGTGAAAAATTAAAAATTGTATCTAGTTAAACCTGTTTTTACATTTTGTATATTACATTTTTTTTCCTTTATCCTCGTACTACGTTTTACTTTTGGCCACACACTATCATCTTTAGATATATAAGTTGACTTTCCAGTATAATTGACTGAATTATTACTGATCTCACCATCAATAACTTGCAAAACTTCATCTATCCCATCAACTTCTGTCGATATAACTTTTAACAACTATCTTCTAGTTCTTCTTCTTCTTCAAGTGCCCTCTCCGCTACGGAGTTTGGCAATCATCATTGCTATTCGTATTTTTGAAGCTGTTGCTTTAAATAATTGCTTAGATGTGCACTAAAACCATTTGCTTAAATTGCGCAGCCAAGATATACTTCGTCCCTCGCTTCGTTTGCCCTGAATCTTTGACCAAGATATTTCAGCTTTCTTCTCTTGATGGTGATCAACAGATCCAGTTCCTTGTTCATTCTTCGAAGAACTACACTATTTGTAATTTTGTCTGTCCTAAGTATTTTTAAAATTCTTCTATTTATCCACATTTCGAAGGTCTCTAGTTTATCGATATTGCTCTTGTTTAAAGTGCAAGTCTCTACTCCGTACAGCAGTATCGAAAAGATGTAGCATCTAACCAATCTCATTTTCAGGTTTAGGTTAATGCCATGACTTCCCAGAATGTCCTTCATATTAACAAAAGCAGCTCGAGCCTTTCCAATTCTAGTTTTTGTTTTTTGTCTATGTCTTTGTTGTTATTAACACTTGTTTCCAAGTATTTATATTTGTGCACCCGTTCGATTTCGTTATTGTGAATGTACTGGTTTGTATTCAATTTTTGTTATTTTGAAATAATCATGAATTTCGCCTTCTTGACATTCATTATTAACCCTTTCTCTTTAGCTGTGACTACCTTGTTTAAAATGGCTTGCAGGTCTTCTACTGTCTCTACTCTCTCTAAAATCAATAAAGTAACTATCTAATAGGTAAAGAAATAATAAATAAGACTTACTCACAATCAATTTAATTTAACTATCAGACGACCGGTTTCGCTTTCTACAATATGCAAAGCATCCTCAGGTCTCGATACAAAGTTAAACAAATGATGCCGGTACTTTATTAATTGATGGATGGTAGAACATGGTTGAAACTACTATGTATTGTTATATGCAGAACTCAATTCTATTATTGCAGTTGTTTGACAGTAAACGGGAAGTTCTTGAGAAGATAGATTTGATCCAATGAAGAAGAGATATGTGTATGATTGTTTGTTAAATGAAAGTGATGTAATATACAATTGTGTTATTAAAAGCTACTTATAGTTATTCAAGAGATATATTTTTGAAATGTGTGTTATTTATTAAGTAATTGTTTTATAAAGGTGACAGTTTTATGACAATGAATAAGTTTAGATGTAAAAATTGTGTGGGTGTGCAATTATTTTTAAACTTGTAGTAATCAAATTACTTTGATAAAGTTCTATTGGCAATTTGAAACATCACTTTCATTTAACAAACAATCACACACATATCTCTTCTTCATTGGATCAAATCTATCTCCTCAAGAACTTCCCGTTTACTGTCATACAACTACAATAGCAGAATTGAGTTCTCCATTCAACAATACATAGTAGTTTCAACCATGTTCTACCATCCAATAATTAATAGAGTACCGGCATCATTTGTTTAACTTTGTATCGAGACCTGAGGATGCTTTGCATATTGTAGAAAGCGAAACCGGTCGTCTGATAGTTAAATTAAATTTATTGTGAGTAAGTCTTATTTATTATTTCTTTACCTATTTGAAATGGACTCACACAAGTAACACATTCATGATTTTAACTATCTAATGTTTCTAATGTCGCCAGTAGTGTAGTCAATCATCATCAGTTACCTTTTTGGGATTTCCAAACTTTAGTGTTTCACTCATTTTTGCAAAGCACGTCCTTGACAATCACTACAAAGATATCTAAATACATTAAAACTTAAACTGTACTGAGATGGTGGGATAAACACGTCAGAGTAGCAGCTTATAAATAAAAGGGAAATAAATCGGAGTTCGGCTAAACCCCAAAAAACAAAACTGACCATAACTTGTTAAAATATACAGCAATCTATCAAAACTCTCTTATGCTAAATTATACATGAACATACTTGAAAGAAAATTAAATAAACAAAAGTATTTTTAAAAATATCGCCAAAAATTGATCTCTGAATTTCAACTGCACCCCGATAGTGTTTACGAAAGTTAACGTAGTCAATTATTTAAAAATAACTTGATTATGTACACTAACAGTATTTATAAATATTATAAATACATACAGACCTATACATCTTACCTAAACTTTTGATGTGGTTCAATACTTTTTTGGGTTTGAGTTAACACTGGCAACCAATAAGTAACCAAGTGTAAATTTTTTAAGATCAACCAAGAACCAGACTCTGAATATCTTTTAAGTGCTTCTATAGCTTTGTTTTCTTGTCCTTCGCCCATAGCAACCTATTAAAACAAGATTGAATGTTGTATTATTTATTGTTTTATTTATTAGAACAGAGCATTATCAGAATTTACCAAATTATCTTCACTTTGACCGAGATAAATTATAGAACTTACTTAAAGAATTGGGATGAACTTTCCGTTTATCGGGTGTGGTCTGTGAGTCCATGGCAAATAATTTTTTTTTGGATAATTCCTTCATTAAATTTTTTTAAATTTCTACCTTTACAGTACCTTCCTAGCAACTAAAAGCCATTCGTTTTTTTTATACAAACTTTTTTTCAAATATCTAAATTTATAGCTGCTACATGGCCGTTTGCGTAGGCAGACCCCACCCGATCAAACGCGTAACAAAATTTACACTATTTTCAAGTTTTTATTTTTCTAAAAATCTTGTTTCTCTCGGCAAACCTGTGCATGTTTGTGTCGTCTTTATTCCGAGAAATTACGTCATTTATTATTAAAACTCGTTAGAAGTGGAAACGATCGCAATCTCAAAAACAAAATAGTATAGTGCATCAAAAGCATTTACATCTAATGTTTCTAAATTATCGGTATAAGAATTTCATATCGACATATTTTTTTCTGACAGATATTCAAGTTAAAGTTGATTTCATGTAGTCGAATACACTATCTTACAATGAAGTCGTCCCAGGAACGCAACACAGCAATATTGGCAATATCATTTTAAAGTCGTATATATGTATAATAATCGTCAAAATGTATAATATATGTGTGAATTATTATTATAAATGAGTCAGATGAAATTTAATTATTGGAAGAATTTTTTACCAAGTAACAAAAAACAAAATTTGGTTAATTTATTAATGTTTGTATTTTAAAAAAGATTTCCGAAGTGGAAATTAAAACGTCAATAAACTCACTTCAACCTTTACTCCCATTAAAATAGTAATTATTTCATATCGACATTTTTTTGAACAAACATTAAAAATATAAAAGTACAGTAGTACTAGTACTACTTTAGTATATGTAGGGTGTCCCGGAAAGTAGTGCGTTCCTTAAAGGTTTGGGCTGAGTGTAGCATTTAAAACAAAAAAGTTTTATAACAATTTTTTATAAAGTTAACCATTTTAAAACAAATATTATTTAATCCATTTGATTAGTGTCCACAGAAAATCAGATACATCCGGCAACTTTGCGCTCCAAAAAGGTATGGGTAGAATGCACCATTGAAAAGAAAACATTCTTATAAAATAAATTCCTGTCTAAAGTCTTCTGTTGCCTTAAATCATAAAAATAAATTTCTTTTACTAAAACTTCCATTTGGCAACCCGATATTTTAATTTATGTTGATACAGAGAAGGTACATTATTTGTGAGGATAAATAGTATTGTCACGTTTTCGATTCGCGAGTATTACGATAATATGTTAATTACGTACGGTGAAACTCACTCTGACAGTAATAGGGCTATTAGACCTTATGTTAAACGCTATCCCGAACGACGACATCCTAATGCCCGAAGTTTTGTGAACGTGTCCCAAAGGTTATTAGAGTCGGATTGTATGATACCTAAAAAAACTAGCAGTAGAACACGAAGTAACCGTACACTAAATGCAGAAGATTGTGATTTTGTGCAACACTTACACCAATGCGATTTACCTTGAAGATTAAGATTTTGTAGATGGTTTCAAAACAAAATCGCCAGAGAACCGGAATTTCCGTGCAAAGTGTTGTGTGCAGATGATGCTTGTTTTACGAGAAATGGTGTGTTTAACTTTCACAATTGTCACGTGTGGAATGATGAAAACCTGAATGCTCTACGTAGGACAAATTTTTAAAAACAATTTAGTATAAATTTATAAGCTGGGATTATTGGTAATCATCCGATTGGACCGTCCGGACTTCCTTGAAGATTGAATGGAGAAACCATTGCTTTTCTGTAAACAATTAATCAAATGGATTAAAATAATATAATATAATATATTTTTTTAACGGTTGATTTTAAAAAAAAAATTATTTAGACTTTTTTGTTTTAAATGCTGCAATCAGCACATATTGTTAAGGAACTCACTATTTTCCGGCGCACCCTGTATAGTATATTAAGTAATCATTAGTAGTAGTATAACACTTCCAGAACTAGAAGATGCTGTGTGTGTGAAAGATATGGCATGGAAACAAGTCCAATAGCTACAGAATGTTTTATTTATGTTTAAAGATATTTTTTTGGTTCTTAACGCGGCGCCAGTGTGGTGGGGTAGGACTCTTACCGAATTTTCGACTGAAGGACTCTTACCAAATTTTTTTGAATCATCGGACCAAACAACTATCTTTTCTTCATTCTTAGGTTTCTTTTTACCTTTGTTTTGTGTATTTGTGTCTTGTATTTTTTTTGTTAGTTTTCTTTTCCCATTGACTCCAGTTTCGTCTTCACTTGATTCTTGATTACTTGATTCTATTTCAATGTCCATACCAGTGTCTTCATTTTCCGCAGTACTTTGTATTTCTTGAAGATCATCTTTAATAACAAATGATTCAACATTGGTATCATCGGGAGGTTCATCCTTTCGTCCATCATCATCTGAATTTATTTTGGGAAGCTTCTGATTCTTCTCCGGATGGTATCTCTTCAATAAGTTGAAATACCTCATCAGCTTCGAGAGCTTCAAGCTCTCTAAAGAAACGGTTTCCTGAAACAATAAAAACAAATATTTATATTATGCTAATAATAGGCTTTGTGGGTCCACATGGAAACACATGTTTTGAAAGCAAAAAAACAACATATTTATGAAAAAATATAAGAACTTTTTTGTAACAACTCTAAAATAACATCAATATGTATATATTTATGATCCACTTACCTGACATATCTTTTATTTGCGTAGTTGAAATAAAAAAATTCGTTATGCGTGACAAAAAGTAAAAAGGTAACATACATCTACCGCTCCTTGAAACAAACTGAAGCCACCGAGAAAGTCGCCGCATTAGCGATCTAAAACACAAAATGGTAGGGGACACCGGTCTGAACGTGGTTCCGGCAAGCGTTTACTGGGAAAGGTTTTAGAAATTTATGAATTTGTGGTTCCGCTGTGGAACCACTTGCCCGAAAAGGGTTAAAGGAGGTCTCGCAGTTGTTGATTTACTTTATCACTTTAGTTCACTTTATTTAAGTGAACGTACGCATCGCTGTTTTGATCCAAACGTCGTTGGAGTATTATATATCCCATCAAACAGGTAAGTTAATATATTTATGGTAGTATTGTTTGAGTTGGGCAGTCACATTTTATATATAATTTCCGTTGAAATTATTTATTTTTAGTGAAAATGTGAAATTTTATACATAAATTATTTATATTTTGATGGTATACAAGGCAAATATCGAACACAGTAATTAACTAAATAACTAATAATAGATTCTGTCTCCGGCTCCGGCTTCTATATAACATGTAGCTTCTCCATTTTTAAAAATTTTAAAGTGTTTGTTTGTCTTTGTGTATTGTATTGTTATATCCAAATTTACATGTATGATATTCTGCTCATGTCGGATAGGCCACAACTGACGAAATGCCCCTGAGGATGATCTATTGATCGAAAGAACTTGGACAAGATTTAATTAATTACTGTGTTCAATATTTGCCTTGTATACCATCAAAGTTCAATTATTCGAACATTCAACCTTATATTAAATTATTTATGTTTTTGTTCTAGATTATGGCTTATCGATATGAACGGGAGCAGGCGAGGCTTCAAGACAGCAGTAGCCACAACTCTGACAGCGAGGAAGATGCTATTAATTTAGAACAGTCGGTGGCTGATATAAAAATCAAAAATGAACTTTTGGGGTAAGGACAGGAGAGTCAAAAGAAACACTACGTAGGTAAGGACGGCATAAATGGTCCTCAACATGCTTTACTATAAATGTAAGAACACGCTCAGTAAATATCATTACGCATTTACCAGGTGTAAAACGGAATGCAAAAATGTCGAAAACTCCCGTGAAATGTTTCAATTTCCTCTTCACACCTAGTATGATGGATGATGTCGTAACTTGGACTAATATAAAAATAAGAAGGAAGTCCACTTGCTACGATGAAAACCATCAGTATGCAGTTCGCGAAACCAATGCAACTGAAATAAGAGCATTGTTTGGACTATTGTACTTAGCTGGGGTGTTCAAATCTGCTTGACTTAATTTAGAAGATCTTTGGTCTTGCCGATGGAACCGGAATAAGCTTATTTAGTATTTTTTTACAGTCTTGTCTACGTTTTGATAATATAGAAACCCGAGAAAAAAGAAAAAAAACTCGATAAAATGACTGCATATAAATCAATTTTCGAGAAATTTGTGCAAAGTAGCTAAGACGTCTATACGCCAAGCGAATATCTTACTATTGATGAAAAGCTGGAGTCATTTAAAGGCCGCTGTATTTTTCGCCAGTATACGCCAAAAAAGCCTGCCCTATACGGATTAAAGATATTCGCTCTCGTTGATGCAAAATCATATTATGTTTTGAATTAAGAACTATACGTGGGATTGCAGCCAGAGGGACCCTTTCAGTTGAGCAATAAACCTAGCTATGTAGTTCTCCGACTTGTAACTCAGATATCTGGAACCAAACGAAATGTAACATTCGATATTTGGTTTACAAGTTATAAGCTTATGCTGAAGCTTTAAAAGATCATCAACTGACGTCTACTGAAATTGTAAGAAAAAATAAAAGGCAAATACCTCTAAAAATTTTACATCTAGGAACAGGCCAGTATATTCCTCAAAATTCGGATTTCAAGAGAGTATAACGTTAGTTTCACATGTACCAAAAATGGAAAAGTAGTTCTTCTAATGTCAACTTTACACCACATTTCTGATGTTGACGATAATACTGGCGAAAGTAAGAAACCAGAAATAATTTCTTTTTATAACCCTACAAAATGTGGAGTAGATGTGGTAGATGAATTGTCGGTTTCATACGATGTTTCACGTAATAGCAAAAGGTAGCCCATTACAATTTTTTATACGAGACTCAACTGTGCAGGTATAAATGCTAGAGTAATATTTATCAACCAAATACTGACGGGTTTCAGTCAAAACGAAGGGAATTTTTGAAATTATTAGTTATACAGTTACTAACAGAATACAAACAAATTCGGTCTACCAACTTAAGGCTTCCGCGAAATTTACAAGTACATCCTGAAGGAACTATAACACATGATGAAGTGCAATTAGGTAAATGAATAAAATTAGCCAAAAGATGTAATTTTTGCCCTAGACAAAATGGCAGAAAGACCTTTTATAATTGTGTGATTTGTAAAAAAGCTATATGTTTGTAACAGTCAGTAGTGCATTGTGATTCTTGCTATTTAGCTAAAAATAATTAAAATGTATTCTGTATGTTATAGTTTTTCCAAACATGCATCTATTTTACTAGTTCTCTGATATTTTTTTATACTCCAGAAAAAATGAGTGTGACGGTTTTTTTATGCTCTAAAATGAGACTTTTTTGGAATATTCAAGTATTTAGTTTGCAATTTGTTTCTAAACACTAGTTTTTTTTATTAAAGTTTGTTATATGTTGAAATATAAATCACAATTTAAATTTTCTAAAAATGAGTTATTTTTATTTCAATTTTTTTTTAATTTGGGGTATCTGATACCCACCACACAGGTTTTTACATTTTAGTCTACCACACTGGCGCCGGATGAATTGTTACTTTGTTAGATATATATACATATATTTTACTGAAGTTACACTAATTTATATTTATACTTTTACGTCTTTAATAAATTTTATTAGCAATTCTAAGGTTTCTCTATTAGCAGCATGACAAAATGGGTGATAGACTTAACGAAAGCAAATATTTTATTTCAATAAGATTTTGAATTAATTCATTAGATTTTTCTCAATATTTGTTAAGATCTCTGCAAGAACTTATATCACAACTGCAGGATGGTGCCGGTAATATGCCAAGCTTAAATAAATGCAACAGGAATCGACCATGATTCGTTTTTAGTCGGAATACACTTGCCTAGAGAAATTTGGTAGTCGATTAATTAAATATGTACTGGGATGGGAGTGGTAAAGTAGGGTGTATCTGGAAATGCGTATTTTGCGAGTTTTTAACAATATTATTCCATTGCTGTTTTCATTTCAGCCTTGTTTTTTTTTTAATAAGTTAAATATATCGCTTACTGTATAAATATTGCAAAAGGCTCCATTTTGCACTGCTTCCTTAGCTAGAGTCCCGGCTTCTTCATTCCCTGGTATACCTACATGGCCTCTCGCCCAAATAAATATTATATTTAAATTTGCAATCATGTTTTTTAAACAACGTAACATAGGACACTTTATTTCTTTAAATTTTCTAAAACTCGGCAGTATAAATGCTACAAACAGGTGGTAATTTATATATCAGTGATTGATTTGTATTTTGGATAAATACACCACAACCAACACCTTCCTTTGTCTTAAATCGATCTTTAAATATAAGAGTTTTGTTATAGAAATAGTATGGATTTTAGGAGGATGTGATTTATTTGATGAGATTCAGTATACTTGGGAATTATAATTCTGTGTATTTTTATTAAAGATTTAAAAGGTATGGTGTACATGTATTGTTTTTGTTATAACCAAAACATTTTTGGACTCCATTGGTCTCAGTAAATGTTTCTGCGAGCGGGGAAGAATTTTTTAGTTCCCAATACTGGTTTTTTAAGTTTTCTTTTATGATATGACTTAATGTGTTGATCATGTTTGACTTCCGAGCTTTTGGTTTTAATACTTAGTTTTGCGATAATAACTGACGGCGTAAATCCAAAGGAAATTCATTACATTCTGTTAGTATTGCATTCACTGGCGACGATACCATTTCACCAATGCAAGTTCCAAGACATTTATATTGAACACTATCTATTTTTTTAAGGTTGGGATTACTTGAAGATCCATACCGCTTCTAGTTGGTGCTTGAAGTAAACTTACCCACTTGCGAGAGTTTGTAAAAAAGTAAATTATTGTATTCATATATAATCAAATAAAACAATTGAATGAAAATAAATGCCAAAAGAATATAAAAATATAAAATAAGAAAAATGTGATTATGACCTGTAATATAAACAAATCGTGTCAATCAAGTATAATATTTTAATTGTTTTTAACCAAAAATAAATTTTGACTTTTACCTCAATATATTGTTGTGATATTTTGTTTGCTATTTCCCTTATTTCTGAAACTGGATCTGTACCAGACACCGCCAAGACTAATATAGGAACAGTGGGATTAGATTCTTTATATATAATGGACAGATCCAGGGAGGATGGATCCAACGATTTTATTCCTGCAACAATAGAAAATTAGTAGAATCTCTTTTAACATTTATTCTTTTATGCAGTACATTTTTTTCTAAATCAATAAATTTAAAAGTGGGAAGGATTTTTCTTATTTTTATCACTTTTCATTTATATTGATTTGAAATAGCTGTGTGTTTAAAAATTATGAAGTTTAAAGCTTCAACGTGATAAAGTCAAGGCCAGGCTCGACATGCACATTACACGTACAACTTTCGAATCAGGTGACACAATTAATGTAATAATAATTAGTATCGTGATAAAATTCCATACATATGAAAGGATTTTGTCCGAAACTTCATCTAAACTGGGAAGATCTGTAAAGAAACCTATGGAAAATAAACGAATGAGGGCAGGGCTTCAATATTGTCTGTACCGAATTGAAGGGGAAAAAGACACCCTACCCCCTGGCTGAGGAAAAGAAACTCCTTTTAATACGGAAACTCTTTCCTCAGGTGGAGAATAGGCGTGAAAAGGTTATTGGCTTCGTAAATGCGGAACCTTTCACTGAGTTAGAACTCGGTGATGCTGTTGGACGGATGAAGTTTCGAAAAGCACCTGGCATAGACATACCGGAGACAGTAAGACTCGCCGCACTAAAATACCCGCAGGTTTTTCTAAAATTGCTAAACGAATTGATTGAACAACAGCAGTTTTCAACTATGTTGAAAGAAGCTAAGGTTGTCCTTATACCGAAAGGTAGAGGTGAAGAGGAAGAGGTACGATTTTGGCCAATTTGTCTTTTTAGTTCGATAGCTAAATTGTACGAACAGCTTATAAAAGGCCGCCTTAAGAGAGAGCTACAAGAAAAGCATGCACTGAGCGTCCGCCAATATGGCTTTAGGTCCAAAAGTTCCACCGTAGATGCGGTCACAGAGGTAACCTCTTTAGTCATGCAGGATACAAAGAGATGGGTGGCTCTTATCCTGCTCGATGTCAAAAATATCTCTAATATGGCATCATGGACAAAAATTATGTCTAGGCTGAGAGAATTGGTTGTTAATGAGTACATGGTCTACGTAATTAACAGATACTTCACTGATAGGTCCATAAGAGAAAAAGATACCAGCATCAGTATGTTGCAGGTTGTTCCGCATGGTTCAGTACTAGGTCGCATCCTGTGGAATGTCCTTTACGATGGGATGTTGAGGCTACAGATGTCAAGGGGATGCACTCTTGTAGCTTATGCCGATTATCTAGCACTGGTTGCGAAGGCGAGTCAGAAAACAAACATGGCTAATGCGGCTAACACAGCCCTGCATCGTATTAGTAGGTGGATCAGAGAGAACGATCTACAGCTAGCTCCTCAAAAACTGAGGTGTTAGTTCTGAAAGAGACCCGCGAAAAATTCTCTCTTCGCTTTATAGTGAAAGGTGTAGAGGTTGCACCGGTAAAATCAATTAAGTATCTAAGAGTCTGGTTGTCGCAAGGTCTAAAGACAGTAGAGAAGACGAATCGAAATCTGAAGGCGCTGATACGGCTAATGCTAAACATTGGAGTTCCAGGAGACACCAAAAGAAAGGTGCTAAATGAAGTTTTCCAGTCGTTGGTAACCTACGCTACCCCTGTGTGGTTTAGTGTACTAAACACTGCAAAATACGCTAAGCTGATGGAGACTTTGCAAAGGTGAATGCTCCTCAAAGTATCTAGCCTATATAGGACAGTTTTAAATGAACTCTATATGTCATTGGAGCGGTCATACCGATCGTTTTGTTGTGTAAAGAGCAAGCGACGATCTATTCGAGGAGGATGGATGTAAATATAGATGAGAATGAGAGAGAAAGAACAATAGTAGAGTGGCAGAGATAATGAGTGTATGATAGAGGAGAGGCAACGTGGAGGAAAAAGTTTATTCCCGATCTGAGACCGTGATGGGAATGTAAGTTCAGGAAACTAGACTTCTTCCTGACGCAGTTTCTGACCGGACATGGTAGTTTTGGCACCTTTACAAATAGAATAGGCAAATCTGCCTTGGCAGACTGTACTATTTGTGGGGTACCAGATGTTCCCGCCCACATTTTTAACTGCCAGAGATGGGCAAATGACATGGTAGATTTCGAGATATAAATAAAATATAATTAAATATATGCAAAACAAACCTGTTATACTAAGGGTACATTGGGACATAACAGTATATAATCTATCCGGTCTTAAAGCTTGTATAATAAGTACTTTTTGAAATTCGGACAAACTGCAATGAGTTGGGTATTCCCTCTCGCATTCGCTAACGTTCATAAAATTTTTCCAAAGGTTGTGTTCTTCAAGTTTCAATATCTTGTAGAAATCAGGTAAAGCCACCTAGAAAATGACAATGTGTGAATTATGCTATACTTGCAAACTTATAAATAATAAAATATTTTTAAATTTAAATACAATCGTTTAAATAAGCTATGGCATTAAACAACCTTCCAAATCATATTTCTCTTCAAGAAAATATCATTTTTAACCCTTATTCAGGCATCACAAGACACTTTATCAGACATTAAAGACCATATTACCGTAGGTGTTAAGAAGAATGAAGACGAGCCAGCTAAAGATACGATAGCAGATAATAAGGGAAGGAAGTTAGAGGAAGCAATAAATTGACGCTCCTCCTCCATCTCGACCGACGTTCTTTGAGAAATATTGTTACTACCAAACTAGGGTTACCGGCATACGCCAGCAATGCCAATAAAATATTTAAATTTTTAACATTTTCTTGACTTATCTTGACATACAAGTATCGGAACATGCCAACCAAGAAGCAACTCGCATATACCGAATTTGAAAACCGCGATTTTTTTCATCGATTCTTTTCAAGCTATCTCAAATGATAACAATCCAAACATCCCAACTGAAGCTTTGTGGTACCAGCAAGAGGAAACTACTCTCCATTATGATGCTAACGTTAATAATTATTTAAAGGCAATATTTACAAATTAATGGATTTGGAGGAGAAACTTCACATAATCACCAACTAGGTTGATACACCTTACTTGGTTGGATTTTTTTTAAAGGATAAATTAAATCAAGTACAAAGCACTTGTCTCAATACTATCGACAAACTGAAGGATATAATGTCTACTGAAATTCCTTCTATTTGACCTGTAACTCTTGAAAACGTGATGCGTGAATTCAGATAAAGGTCGGCTTATTTCCAAGAATTAAGGGGATCCTAATTTTAGTATCTATATAATTTTAACTGTATTTTATATAAGTCACCCAAACTTTTATTTGTATTGTATAAAATTAAACACACTTTTTGAATTTGTTAAAAATGGTAAATAAGGGAGATATTGTGAGGTTGGCAACCCAAATGTTAACACAGCGTACGACGTGATTAACTCATTAATATAATATTTACATTTTGTAATTACCTGTATCAGTTGAATGTTATTTAAACATTGGTTTGGTATCCAAGGAGGTTGATCTTCGGAAGTATTTTTGTTTGTCATAGCATTACCTAAAAAGATGTTCCATTCTGTTTCAGGCACGTCTCTGGGATATAGTTTAAAAGTTAAATACAATAAAAATTTTAAACGGTCATTTTGAAACACTCCTCGACTCATATATCCATATACAACATGCAGTAGTTGTTTCTTTTGCGATGATAAATTATTTTCTAATCCCTATAAAAGAATAAAAATGAGTAGCAACTAGGCAATACGTAGGGTAAAGTGTGCAAATCGCGGTCACCTAAGAAGAAAATTTAATATAAAAAAAAGTAAAACTCTGTGAATCAAATTTAAGCCGTCAATCCGTAATTTGGGGTTTTAACTTATTGCAAGATACATTTAATTTCAAAAATATAAAATTTTTGTCTTTGACAGAGACAAAACATAAAAAAGTATCTTTGACCGGTATTGTCACCATACATGGACAATACCGGTCATGAGTGTGGGTAATGCCAGTCAATTTGTTTGTGTTATTATTAAAATAAAAATCAATATCTATTTAACATTTTTTTGTTATAAAACGATTAACGAATGTGGCTTAATGGGTCACAATTCAAGTAAATCAGTAAGAAAGGTGAAAAAATATTTTTTATTACAAAACAAACAAAAAATAACAAAAATATGTGTTTTAATGTAAAAATAGTTGACAGTCATCGCAGGTATAACTCTCTGCAGAATCCCATCCACTGCACTCTGAATAAGCCCATCGTGAGCAAACGGTAAATATATACCACCATTCATTGTTTTTGCCAAACTCGCTGTAAACTAGGCATCTATCTTCGTATGCATCGTCACTGTTATCACATGATATATCAATATCCGATTCCAAAGAACTAGAATCAAACACCTTTTTCTTGTAATGCCAATTACAAGAAAAAGGTGTTTTATTACAAGAAAAATTATCTTGTAAACCCAAATGCTAATTTTCTCAGTTCTATTGCTGTTACGCCATAAAAAATTAAGCTAAATATTTTTTTGTGTGGCTATTTTAGCTTCTTGTTCGGCAGAAAATACTGATTTTCTACCTAATGAGACACCTTGAAGATTTTTATTTTTATTCTTTCTTGCAAGGTCGAAAAATGGATGGATTAATCCCTAAGGATTAATAGTATAGGGTATAAATTATAGCATGGGGGTAATACCGGTCAACTGACCGGCATTGCCTCCTGTTGGCATTTTTTTTCTTAGAAGTTTTTACTCGTAAACATGTATTAAAATATTGATCTTTAACAAAGGAATAGGCAGCTAACGTCATTATAATCAATTGAAACCAATTTTAAGATCTACAAGTGAATAAAAATGAATTAAGACCTTATATTACTCAGCATAAAAATAAGATCGAAAACACTGAAAACAGTTTAATAATATTTCTATGACAATGGTTTGCGCCAACTCAACGCTCGTCAGCAATCTGAATACAGAGTAGTGTAGCGACACGTTGGCAGTTATAGGAGGTTGCCAGATTGAATAGATTTCGCACAATCGGGATGACCGCCATTACCCACTGACCGGTATTTGCACAGTTTACCCTACAACATCCAAAATATATTGATTTTTAGTTATCGACGAAAAAGTAATTTTAAGTTAAATCTAGTTAAAAGTAAATATTCATATTTTATAATAGTTTTATAAGTTGTATTTTTGTGTTAAATTTCAGAGTTTACTATTTTAAAGCTTTGCATTTTTAACTAATTAAATAAGCACCGACACTCTTGCGCATTACAAGCAAATTTATTATACTTTATAAAAGTATAAAAGTAAGACGGATGGTTATGGAACCTTTTGCATCCGATTTGAGAGCGCTTCAGAAAAATTCTTGAATACTTGCATGAGGGACAAATGAGAATTGCATTGCGAAAAATGCATTTTTCCAAGTATATCTTAAAATGTTCAAAAAATAAAATTTGAAACCTTTGAGGTCGCTGAACAGGAATATTGGGTTTGCGAAGCTGTAAGAGGTACCTGGTACCCGATATCTACCCGGTCGCCAACGACAGAATATCATTAGTTAAAGTTTTTGACCAGATCTAGAGGCACGTAGTTACAGTCAAACTTTCGCAGAGTTTAGATTTTGTAAATTTTCAAATCTAAGTATTTTATATTTCTGAAATCGTTATTTTAAAAGCTTTAAATTGGGTATCACATGTTGCAAAACAAGATCAAAGTTATGAATGTCATCTGAAGTGGGTTTGCGTAAAGTTCAAAACATTGCTGCTATAATATAGGTACTTATGATTATTTTAAAAATCGACCTGCCCAAACGTTTTGCTTACGTGATAAAAATAAATAAGTTAATAGAGGAGGTACTCCGTTTGATTTTTTTGCAATTGTAGCAAAAGACTTTCTTGTTTTGGTAACTTTACCATAAAATGTATTAATATTATTTTAAGACAAATTACTGTCAAATGCAAAACCGGCATACATTATCAGCTTAGGAAACATTACGTACCTGAAAACTTTGTAAAGATCTTAGAAATAGATCTGTAAATGCTGAAACTGACAAAAGATACAAAATATTACATTTTGCAAATTCGTTACATGCAAAATATAGTAAACTGCCATAATTCGATAACTCCCTGTATGTATCATACTCAGCCTGAAGCTTCTTTTGAACTTCATTTGATTCTAGTAACGCTACTGCTATCGCTTCTGAACTTGCTTTGGTTTGATTAAGGGAATCAAGAAGTTTCTAAAATAAACAACAATAAAATAACAGCACTTTAAGCTAGTAATATAGCAACAGAATACTTACCTTGTTTTGAAGTATATCACCTGACGAATTAGCTAAATCTTCAAGAAGCTGATTTTGTAAATGATTCAGTTTTTCTTCCAGTTCCTCTTTTTCTTTAAGTAAATTGTTTTTCTTTTTTTCTAGTTCTGGATTTTCCTGAGAAATTGCATGTGACAAAAGTTGTTCTGCAAAAAATAATTTAAAATAGTATAAAATTGTTTTTTAAATTATTTTTTGGAGATGTTTTAAAATTTATAAACACAGACAAGTTTCGTTTACAATGTATATTATTTTTTCTACAATCACTCAACAAAAAATTCTTATCGCTGGTTACACAATGATATATTATATTTTCCTTAAAATACATTGACATGTATTCTAAACCCATTTATGCCCAACGGGTCGTTAACGACCCAACTAACAAAAATATGTTCCAAACAAATATGTCGAATTTACCAGTCGCCGTATGTTTACAAGTTCATTCCTGACTATGCAAGTAAGCAGTTTATTTAGTGCAAAACCGTTTATTTCGCTCGTAGTGTTCGTAGAGTGTACATCAAAATAGAACTTGAACAACGTTCACAGCATGGCTTCATTCAAACATTTGTAAGTACATTTAAATAAATTATTTGATTATTTAAATTCATTTTATATAGTTAAACACAAGTTGTGTTAACACATTATAATATTACTAGTATGAAAATAATTTGATATATGTCATAAATATAATATTATATTTTGATGGGTCGTTAACGACCCGTTGGGAATATGACATATCATAATGGGAAACTGTTTTTTTAGTAAGAAACCATTATCTACGGCAGAAATTCTGGAGAAAATAGAAAAAATTGAAAACAGTGAGACTATACCGGATGATATATATATTTTGCCTCCAGATAATAATGGCTGGTTAACCGATTCGGATTCTGGAGACGAGGAATATAATGATCCGGATAGACTAAATAGAGGTCAGTTAAATGCCTGTGCTGAAGTACAATTTCAGCGTGATGAGGAAAACATAGAAAATGAAGTTCTTCAAGAAGTATCTGATTTTACAGTACAACATCGAACAAAGAAACTAAAGAAGACGCCCCGAAAATGGTCGAACATGATAAATTTACCAACATTACCTGCGGATTCCGATCTACAGAGATTACCAGTTTTGACACTTATTTCTGAAATTAATCCAGTTGAATTTTTTGAATTGTTCATGAGCAGAGAAATAATAGAGTATTTAGTTAAAGAAACAACAAATTATGCTGCCTCGAAAAATCAAAATATTACAATAGACATTGACGAATTTTATGTATTCTTGGGAATTTTAATTTTAAGTGGTTACGTTCCATTACCAAGGCGAAGAATGTATTGGGAAAACTCAGATGATACACATAATATTTTAGTAACGAAATCTATGAGACGCAATAGATTTGAAGAGATATTTAGATTTTTTCACGCTGCAGACAACAATCCCCTTGCTGAAAATGATAAATTGGCCAAGATTAGACCTTTCATCGAAAAATTAAATACAAAGTTTTTAACGTTTGCACCCATTGAAAATCAAATTTCTATCGACGAATCTATGATTCCTTACTTTGGTCGTAATGGGTGCAAACAATTTATTCGCGGCAAACCAATAAGGTTTGGCTATAAAGCATGGGAAATGGCTGTATCAAATGGATATTGCCTAAATTTTGACATATATCAAGGCCGAAAATTAACAACTGGTGCTGATAAAAATTGTGGATTAGGAGAAAGTGTGGTGTTGACTTTTGCAGAGATTTTGCGAAATACATATAAAAATATAAAATTTTCCTTCTATTTTGATAACTTTTTTACAAGTATGTCTTTGATATCATCAATTGCAGATATGGGGTTTAGTGCCACTGGAACTGTACGCGAAAACAGAACAGAAAAGTGTCCTTTAGAAGATAAGAAAAGTATGATGAAACAACCAAGAGGATATTATTGTAGCTCTTTTGATGACAGCAGTAAAATTGCGGCTGTAAAATGGAAAGATAATAATGTTGTCACTATTCAGCAAAATATTCAGCAAAAGAAAAATTAAAAATTCAAATAGATCAACCATTTGTAATTTCGCAATACAACAAATTTATGGGCGGAGTCGACTTGATGGACAATAACATTTCAAACTATAGAATAAAAATACGTGGAAAAAAATGGTACTTTCCAATATGGATATGGATGCTGGATGTTTGTGTAACTAATGCTTGGACACTAGCACGACAATTTGGATATAAAAATGACAACTTAGAATTTAGAAGACATATAGTTCGTACATTATTGTCTAATTATGGAAAGTCAGCCCGTTCTACTGGACCTCAAAATATTGCAATAATTCCTGCTCCGTCCACATCAACACAACATCTAATTATTACTGGTGCTCAAAGAAGAAGATGTCGTGTATGTTCAAATAAAACTACAAAAGCCTGCGATAGATGTGAAATTCCACTCCATGATAAATGCTTCAAAGATTATCATACAAACTATTTTAAGCTTTAAGTAATATAATTAAACTATGCCTGCTTCATAGTTTTCATTTTAGGGAGTAAATGTTTAATTTGTTAGGAGAAAGTAAAATAAAATGTACATAATTTTATAAAAGTTATTATTTTTATTTTGTACCCCTATGTGCCCAACGGGTCGTTAACGACCCAGCATATTTTTCGAAAAGCCGTTTTTGAAAAATTTTTTTAGTAATTTTTCAATGCATTTTAGGGTATTTTATTACATTCTTGAGAAAATCATTGATATATTTGACAAAAATAGTTGTGGCATAAATGGGTTAAGAAAATGAAAATATTTAATTTTCCTACTAATTGAAAGTTGTGTCTTTTTATGTATTTTAGTAGTGCTCTAACAATATGTAACTATTACATAATATGTCAAAACCTTGATAATAATAAAAAATAATAATTCAGCAATGTCAGTAGTTGTAACAAAAAACTGTTTAAAATGTAACCTGTTCTTCTACACGTGCCATATCAGAGTTATCCGACGTTGGCGATTAGAACTTAAATTGATATAAACTGTTATTTGAAGAATAATTATAATCCATAATACTATCTTACAATACGGAAGGACCATTAGATATATACCATTTTTCAAAGTAAAACACTTGCATGTCACGATTTATACAAAGTGACGTCACTTGTATTTAAAATTTCCAGAACATCAACCTTAGAGTTGAAAAATTTTCAAATTTTTCAAATGTTCCTAACACAGCTAATAATACGAAACCCATACGGAACTGCTCGATCTTTCAGAGGCGTCAACATGAACTAATCAAAAAAATCATCATTATATTGCAAATTTTAGAATTATATTGATTAAATATAACCAAAAACATTTGTTATTATTAATAATATAAATTTTGTGAAATAACTCTTTAAGTCTAATATTCCACAAAATAATAATAACTAAACTACTACTTTTAACTAAATATATTAGACAATAATTGTACGCAACTGATACGGAAATATTTCAAATTTTATTGACAGTTCAGCGTCAGTCAGCGTGTGGCAAAACTGTATAAAGTGTTGCCGCTTTTTTAGAGTAGGAATGTTGTTTATGTTTTGATTTCTTACACAATTTGATCATAATATAATATATATTAATAAATCGTATTTATAAATACATATTAAATTTAGATTAATAGCTTTAAAAACTAATTATTGTTGTGTATTCTGATTGTGATATCCCAAAACAAATAAATAGTCTGTAGAAAGCTGATAATCTTTCATATACGGTAGAGTATTTTGAACAAGAAATAATGGCGGGACGTTTCTACTATTAAATCCCTAAAAGAAGTAAGTTTAAAATTTAGAATATATAATTTTGTATTAAAATGTTTTCTTATGTATTTTAATGCGTTGCAGTTATAGTCTTAAAACTAAGTGTATTTACTGTTAATATAACAGTTTGACAAATTGTTGACATTTTAAAAATTCCCCACTTGCTAACTATTCTGAGGTTTTGGCAACGCTGTGGGGTTTTGACCACGTAAAACTTGAATGACGTGCAAGCTTTTTTATATGAAAAATGCTATAGCTAGTTTAGCTGTAGCAAATAAATATCTATAAAAATACAAGTGAAGTTGACGCCACGTCGTTTTTCTTTCTAATTTGACAGGTTACGTCAAAATAAGGTATCTTTAAATAAAAGTTCTCTATACTGTATTTAATTTAGATGAACGCACGTTTGTTCAACTGTGCATGTATATAAAAGTGCGTTAATTAAAGGATGACATAAAATAAGTCTTCAATATCTCTCTATCTATTTTGTTTAATCATAGCTTCCTTTGTTAGTCTCAGTATGGCGCCATTTGTGAGTTAAATTGTAATTTAAAATTACAGTTAAACATTTGTTAGGGCCTTTTTGTGCAATTTTTAAAAAATTCTCTTTACAGAAACTTCTTTTAATATACCAAACCCAACAGAAAAAGAACTCTCTTATTCGGTGCAGTCGTTCAAGTGATGCCTATACCAAGATTTTACACAAAAAAACTTACGTACCTGTAAAACCTGCAAGGGTAACGGTGAAATTTAGCAAATTAATAAAAGGTATTATTTCAGCGGGTAATTTCAAATGCTCGTTTCGGCTACATAATATTAATTTAAAGTCGCTGTGGTAATCTAAAAGCTTGCCATTCAATTTGATAAGACGTCTTTCACCTAAAATTAAAACATTTTTGATTATAAAATACAAAGTTGGTTATTTTTTTGTGCGCAGTTTTATAAAAAGGGTCTGGTTTTTTAATTGTAATATATATATATATATATATATATATATATATATATATATATATTATCATGAACTCATATTCAAAAATATCCTTAAAAACGTACCCTTAAATATATACAGACGATATTAAATAAACGATTTCAAAATAGTTAAATAAAATATTGATACAATCCTTTATTTACTATACTCCTATTACAGGTCAGATGTTTATATACAGCAAACGATGCACCATATACCTATATACCTAATTCTTTTTCTCTTTTTGCTCTCTCTTACCTATAGCATAACATATGTAATGATTGTGCAGATTGACTTCTATATAAATTTTTAACGGCGAACGCGTGTAAAGAAGTATAACTTCTACCGTCAGTTTCACTGGACTGCCACACCCGTTTTGTTGTTCTATTAGGAGTTAACCTCCTGCTTTGAGTAACTCTACAGCTATACTGCTAGATCCTGGAGGTCGCCCGTTTTTCATTTTAATAAATGCAGTACGGACCTCGTTGTTAGTAGTATTAATGTTACTAGTTGTTGGTCTCTCCATACTGTATTCCTCTCCCATATATTCCAATCGAGACTCTTGGAGTAAATTTTTATGGTGACTTTCCTAAGTTTCTATAGGAATTAAATTGCTTAAGGAGTTATGGATGTTGTTTTTCTTTAGATTAGTGATAGTTTTGCATGCTTTCGTAGTCTGAGAACCACCAATAAAATTTTCAACTTGAAGACCCAGATTTTTTTCCCAGAAATTGTTTTTTGCTTTTTTTATTTGATTGCGTACTTCTCCGTTTCTTCTTTGACATGTTGCTCTGTTGGTAGGTGTTTTGTTTGTTAGCCATTTCGTATATATTTTGTTTTTTTCTTGTATCATTTCTTTTATGATGTCTGTCATCCATGGTAGTTCATGGTGTTTTTAGTCGTTGTTCTCTGTTCCTAATACTTTATAAGCAATTTTTTTATTATCGTTTTGAGGTTGTTGTATTCCTGTGCTACGTCCATATTTCTTTCCATCTCATTTAGCTTCTTTTCTAATCTAGATTAAAAAAATCTTTATTAATTCGTTAAAATGAAAGATGCAATTGAATGTATAATATGTCTAATACGGTTAATAAAAAATAAAAATAAAAAACTGATTTAGGGGATTCACATACAGTGATATTAAAATGATTCATATAAAATAAAATTAAAAATATAAGATAATAAAAAAATAGGATCAGCAAAATTAAAATTACCTTGTAACGTAAATTCCCTTCTTAATATTTGTAACAGCACTGAAGATATTGTGTCAATTTCTTCAATGATAAAAGTTTTTCCGAACCTAATAAAAAATTGTTTAATAAATAATTCTACATCAATATCATTATACTTACCTAACAGCTAATTCAAGTGCCCCCTTAAATTTAGGAGAATTTTGTGTAATACTTTCTACGTTTTTATGTCTTAGATGCTGCTTTAACCAGTTTATAGCCGACGATGTAGGATCAATCAACAAAGGTACCAGATCAGCCTAAAATTGAACAAAATTAAAATAAAACAAAAAGTAAAACAATATTTTTAATACTTTTTCACAGATTCTCACTAAAATCTGCGTTTTCTACTATTTTCAAAGCAAACAGATAATCAATAAAGCGACATGGGGAATCTAAAATTGCATTACAAGTAATATCGTTCCAGCTAAGTAAAAACTTTTTATGAACTCCTATTAAGAAAAGTTTTGTGTTTGAATAATTTTGAGATATTTATCTAACAGATAAGATTACCTTACAAAATAATTAGTTCTTTCTACCTATTAATAATTTATAAATCGTTAAAACAAGAGGATTAAAAAATTATGTTAAAAAGGTTTATGTAACCGTTAAAGTTGTACAAGAGTTGCACATTAATATGTCTCTTCAAAATTAAAAGTTGATACACTTGGCCGCAATGTTGAAGGTAACCATGCTTGTCTGAAAAGATGTGAGGGTGGATTTTTTGCCCTATGGAACTTTAACCCTTCCCAGTCAGATGATCCCATTTGAGATCATGGTAATGTTTTCTGCTTTAGTGACATAGAAAACTACTTTATATCAGTTGGGCGAACGACATTGCGTTGCTACGCCTTCCTGCTAGATGACGCTGCATTAATTTATTTGGCAGTTCTATGGGTAAGCGTTAGTCACATTTGAATGTAAAACTTCGAAGTGACATATCGATCAACAATTCACTGTAAATTTCAAATCATTACTAAGGTAAGTAATTGAACAAGTAACTGCATGAACAAAATATATTTGTTTCTTACATTGTTTTTATTTGATAATTTGCATTATAGTTTGCTCATATTTTCAAGATTGTTTATGTAAACATTATAAATATCAATGAATCCAAATTGAATCATTGGGCTATTGCGGTGGTCCCCAAATGGCATCATTGGGAAGTCGTGTGAATTTTGTTTCGGTCAATAAAATACAAAAATGCAATATATTTTTTCATTTCAGATGGATCGTTTATTCAAAAATAACAAAACCAAAGTTTTTTTTCGGGAATTGCAAAATCTGTCCCAGGAAGAGCTAGTTGGTCTTCTTGATGATTCTGATATCGAATTCGATGTTAATAATGAGGAAGAGGCTTTGGAAGACGAAATGATTAAAGAAACTCAAATTGAAGAATGATTGGAAAATATTGTTTGAAAATAGCTTGAACACCCATGTTACAGAGAATACGGAAGAAAAAAATGTTGAAGAAATTACACAACAGCTACAGACAAGTCATGCCAAGAAAAATAAAAGCACAGGAAATCCAACTTGGACAGACAACGATTTAATTGATGTAAACAGCGAGTACACCGGTGAATTTTCGGTTGATGAAAATATTTACACATCTTTTCAATATTTTAAAATGTTTTGTGACAATGATATTATTCAAACTTTTGCTGAGCAGACAAACTTGTATTCTGTGCAAAAAGACAGTTAAAATATTGATACAAATGCAGCAGAAATAGAGCAGTTCTTAGGCATATATGTATTGAGTGGAATTGTTCGTGTTCCTTTGTATAGAATGTATTGGGCAGAAGAAACACAATATAATACGATAGCTGATATCATGTCACGTAATAATTTGATAAACTCCTAGCATATTTTCACGTCAACGATAATTTGAAAGTCTCGCCTAGTAACAATGACAAATTATATAAAGTAAAATCGTTCATTGAAAAAGTTCGGCAAAATATGAATAAGATAGAACCTAAAGAATTCAACAGCATCGATGAGTTTATTATAGCATTCAAAGGACATAGCAACCTAAAGCAATACATAAAAAATAAACGTCATAAATGGGGCATAAGGTTTTTGCAAGAGCAGGACGCAGCGGCATACTATACGATTTTGAGATATATGTGGGAAAAGGGGCAGTGCAAGATGAGTCAGGTCTTGGAATTAGTGGGGAAATAGTACTGAAGTTGGTCAGAAATCTGCCAAACCACATGAATTTTAAAATTTTCACTGATAATTGGTTTACATCTTATAATCTATTTGTTACTCTGAAAGAAAGGAGCTTCCTTGCTGCGGGGACTGTAAGAAGTGGGCGGCTGGTAGGTTGTCGTTTTTTAGAAGACAAAGTTCTAATGGCAAAAGGTCGTGGATCCTCTGATGTCAAAATAGACAGCAAAAATAATATTGCTGCTCTCAAATGGTATGTAGGCATTGAACGGCCAGCAATTACAAATTACTGGCCGTTCGATGCCTACATAGGTTTTACTAAAGAATATAACATTTCGATGGGGAGGTGTGGATTTGCATGACATGCTTGTGGAACTATATAGAATCAAAATTAAGCCAAAAAGATTCAACTCCTGGTTGCTATACCAAAGACACTGCAAACAAAAACAAGTGAAACACATCCCCCTTCTCCAATTCAAATCTCAAGTTGGACATGCGTTACTAAAAGCTGGAAAATTCGACACAAGGAAACGAGGAAGTCCTTCTTAAGAGAATAGACCAACTAAGAGACAACTACTGCATCCTGCACCAGTGTGGGATGTTCGATTCGATGAAGTAGGACACTGGCCGTTACATGATCAAAATCGCACAAGGTGCAAATTATTTATAAAGTGTTACTATAAAATAAAATGTTCTAAGTGCAATGTTTTTTTTTATGTTTAAACAATAATAAAAATTGTTCTTATAGTTTTCATGTACCAAATTAAATTGTTAATGAAGTGCAATAATAAACATATTTCCTATTATAGTCAATTTTTTACTAGACATAATTCAGGTACCACCAATGCCAGATGATTCCAAATGGGATCAATTTTTTTTTAAGTTTGCAGACTGTAGGATGCAAAATTTTTGAAAAAGCTATCAACAATTATTTTTTCTTTTATCATTTTCTATAACATAAATTGTTTTCAACAAAATTTACTCAAAAAAATAATAATTTGGGCTGGAAAGGGTAATGCTGATTATTCTGTATATTTCTGCATTGTTGGTATGTACTTTATGCGTTTGTATTTTTCATATGCATTGTGTATGATTGTAGACGATGTGTTTGAAACTATTTTACTCCACTATTGTTGGTATATTCTTATTATTGATTTCTTTTTTAAGTATTGGATAATCAAATGCTGCTGATGGGTTTAATACACATTTTTCTTAATAGAGTACGATGGGGGTTACTTCCTTGATTTTTTTCTTTTTCATGTCTATTTCTTTCATGGCTCGTTTTTGATTCCATGTTTGAGTTTGAGTCTCTGTTGTTAATGTATATTGCATGCTCGTTTGTCCCTACACTTAGTGTTCTTGCGGTTTCCCCCTCATAGAAATTGTTGAATTAACATAGTATTTGCTAGATGCAGTTCTTTGATTTTTCTTGTGTGTTTTTAGGTTTTGTTATGGTTAGGATAGATCTAAGTGTATTGGTTGTTTTAAATGTTGTTGTGATATTATACTTATTTCCTACCATCCTTAATTTTTCCTATAATTTGTTTACATATATTATTGTTGCCATCCTTTGGTCCATCCTTGTCAGTGCTTGAAAAATCAGAGCGGGCCAAATCAAGAAATATAAAACAATGGGGTTTGTGGAACTTATATTAAAAACGCACAAAATTATTTGTTAAAAAGATATTCAAAAGACTAAGAAATGGTAATCTTACGAGAGCCATAAGGATGTATAACTCGGAGTATAATGCAACATTCAGCTTTCTTTAGACTTCTCTTGGCATACGTGCCTATTGTGGGAGTTATCATTTATTCCCTAGTTCCTCGTAGTATAAAAATAAACCAGAAACAAACAAGCAAATGAGGAAAAAACAGAAAAGAAGTTTGCTTCTTTTCTACTAAACAACTAAAAATATAGAATTGGCTCTCGTTTCAGATCAAACTTTTGAAACTGAAGAGAAACGACCAAAAATTGGTTAGAAAATGTTTTCTACAAATAAGGCTAGCACAGAAGATACAGCTAAAACAAATAGACGACGTTGAAGATATAAACGCAAGCTGGGAGAAAATTAAAAGCAACAATGAAGAAGCAGCGACAGAAGCTCTAGGAAAACGCAAAGCCATACTGAACAAAAGAAACAACAACAATACACCATGGTTTAGAAAAGAAATAAAAGAGAAATGTACAGAGAAATGAGAGGCCTACATGAAGTAAAAAATATCAAATAACCCAGAATCTAGAGACAAGTATAGAAGAATATGAAATGAAACAAAGCAGAAAGTGAGAAGAACAAAAATTGAACACTGGAAACAGTTTACAAAAAGGATGGAAATCGACTTCTACGGTACACAAAAACAAATATGGAGATTTATAACAAACCAACGGAATAAATGGCAGAATTAAAGGAATACAATAACATTCCAGCAAACAAATGGGAAAGATACCTGACCTAATTGTTTAAAGCAAAGGAAAATAATAATCAACACAATAACGTACCTGAATTAAGACACGAAATAGAAATCAGTTTTGAGAAAGTAGAAATAGCCATAAATTCGCTCAAAAATAGAAAGTCGCCAGGACCAGACGGAATAACCAAGGAGCTTCTAAAATACGGAGAAGAAAGTATAATCCTAGAGATGACAAAACTTATACAAAAACTAATATTGCACTGCAAGATACCAGACGCATGGAGAAACAGCATAATAATACCAATGTTCAAGAAAAGAGATAATGAAGACCCCAACAATTATAGAGGTATAAATATACTGAACACCGCACTTAAGCTTCCCACAAAAGTCCTAATCAATAAAATCAATAAACTAACAACTTTATCAGATGAATAGCAAGGATTCAGGTCCTGCAGATCCTGCGTAGACGCCGTATCTGTACTAAAACAAATACGGCAGACCTGACAAAAGCTTTCGATCCCGTCCAAGTCGAAGACGTCTTACACCTACTGTATAAAAGAAACATACCAATCAATATTATACAAACCATCGAAAACATCTACCTCCAAAATCGAATACAGGCAAAGATAAATGGAAAACTAACACAGTGTATACCAGTACAGAGAGGAGTCAGACAGGGTGACTCGTTGAGCCCACTTCTCTTTAATATAGTAATCTACGAAATAATACAAGTAGCACGTAAAGGTTATGTTATCTTCAATACAACAGCTAAGAAATACAATATGATAATATCAGCAGACAAAACCAAACGTATGACAACATCTAAACATTCACTGTGCTGTAAAATCGAAATTGATGGGAAAGTAATAAAGCAGGAAGCAAGGTTTAGATCTTTGGGAGTAGATATAACTAGTTACGAAGTAAATCGACGGGTTCCCTTAATGACACAATCTGTAAGAACAAACACTTAAGACAAGACACAAAAACAAGAATCTGTAAAGCAGCCATTAGACCTATATTAACATACACGACGGAGACAAGACCTGATACATCTAAAACGAGACGACTGCTAGAAACAACATAGATGAAAATACTCCGACGAATATCAGGGAGAAGTCTATTGGATAGGGAGAGAAACGAAAACATAAGAAGAGTATGCAATATAGAAGAAATAAATGGATGGGTGACAAAACAAAAACAGGAGTAGAATTAACATGTCAGTCGAATGGCAGGGGATAGAATAGTACGAATAGCACGAGATAAGTCACCAAATGGACGAAGAAGTATAGGCAGACCAAAAAAAAGATGGTGCGACAATTTAAGAGGCTAATATTGAAGAAGAAATAGGCTTTAAAGCCTACATACTAGTAGGAAGAAGAATAAGAAGACTGTTAAGTTAGAGTATAAAAAGCTGTTATTATTCCTGTACATTTGTTTTGTGTCTGAAATTTGAATCTCACAACAAGTACTTATTCACACAATTTTTTAAATTAAATTATTAGTTCCTTTAAACTGACCAACCTAATTTTAATGTAATAATTAAATACCTTCAGCATCATAACAGCATTTTCTGTTGATAACTTATCCGATGAAAGACCTTCACTTTGCCATTGCATACGTTCCCTTTCAGTTGAGAAGAATGAACCAGCGTCAACTATGTCAATATTTAACTCCTTGGCACAGTGTGATAAAAAATTACTAAAAGAAAAAAATAAATAAATAAAACCATTAATACCTACCACTATTTTGGTACGAGTTTTGAGAAGCAATGGACGTAATAGAAGTGATGCGGGATTGTATCGGACAATAAACATTGTTTTCTACGCTTAATGCGAATATAAATGTGCAAAAACGAACAATAATGATAAATAATTATTCAGCAATAAATTACTTTTAAACCCTTAGTCTGTGCATAGGTCCCTAGGTTGTCAATATATTCGTCAATTTATTGCACAAATACAATAACAAAGTAACTAAACACAAGGTAACTAAAACAACTGATTTTTAACAGTTTCTGCCGTAATATGTTATAAGAATTATCAGGAACTGTAGACTTTTCGGTTGGTCTTTTGGTTGCTTTTAAAGTTTTGCTCGGTCTTCCCAATATTTTGCTAAATATCTTTTATATGGGACTAAATCCCACTAAATTTTAAAAAAATCAATTTTTTTGACGTTGTAATGTCTAATATTCGTAAATCGTTTTCAGAAAATATCTAAAATAACATTATGAAAAATTAACAAGCTATAAAGGTTATTTTTAATTGTGGGTGTTAATAAAGAAATCTTGATAGTTAGACTTAGTTGGCCTTAGCTTTGAAGGCATCAACAATGAATGCACTTTGAGAGGTGAAAGTTTTAAAATGTCTATATCCTCGGTGATATCAAATTCTAAATTATCTGTACCTCTTTTTTTGTGTTGTGGTATTGTATATTATATCCTGCAACTTTTTTTGCAAATCTTATCAATTTTACTAAGATTATGGATGTACGACCGTTTTTGAACTTTGTACATTTTAAATAACTGATGGTGATACTTATCTAACTGCCTTCCGACGAAAGCAGTGGTAAGGAAGTTACCTACTTAATAGTAAAATTATTAAAAAAATGAATTTTGTAAACTTAGTAAGACGGCAATAAATAAAGCTGACTTAAGTTAACTACAAAGCAAACAAACAAAAAAGAGTCCTGTCTGGCTCAGATCTGGGCTTTTAAAGCGTTGAAAAGAATCCATGTTTGTGACGATAATATACTCTTATTGTCTAGAATATGCTTATGTATTACCAAAACATGTTTTATATCGTCACTAGCCGTACTCGAGCGCCACTGTGATGATCTCGGGTAGTAAATGACAGCCAAACAGAATTCGTTTTTAACCCTTTATAGGTCTGTGGTCGATATTTCGACTGCTGCTCTTATTAATACTTATGAGCTAGTAATTGACATGAAAAGTTACCGAAGTGCAAATTCAGTGTTTGTAAATGAATTGTACCAAAATAAACACCACAGAACAAAAAGAGGTAACGTGGCAGCAATGTGGTCGATTCGCCAACCACAACCCATCATACTCTGTAAGTTACCGTTGAACGTGACCACAGGTTTTTGCCGTTTTTTAAAGTTAGAAAAATAATTTACAAAAGATTTATACATCAAACTCAAGGTAACACATCACAGTATTATGGGCTTTTATTATCTATTCAGATTTTATTGGCGCTAAGATGATATATCTTGATTTACTAAACATAACCTCAAAGTAGCACATGCTGATTTTACAATTGTTCTATTAAAATGTATTTTCACTCTTGTTTATTTTAAATCTATACCATTATATTCTTTTTTTACGTAAATCTGACTTACTTGAATAATATTTCCAAGAATTAAATTGCTGTGCGGTAGATCAAGTAATTAAATTTTTCAAGTATTTGTATACAACAATGTACGTAACTTTTGCAGTAAAATGGAACACCGCAATATACTTGAAAATTTACAAAATATGACTCAGGATAATTTATTTGATTACATAGATGATATTCCATATCAACAAGCCATAAATTCAGATTTTGAGGGTGATTCTGATGCAGAAGATAATCTTCCTATTTCCAACCGAACGTCGGTTGCATCCAACGCGACTATTACTTCATTGTCTAATGATAACAAGGTTGAATTTCTTGATGTTGATTCAGATGACTCAATGGATGATATAGCTTTTCACCCTCAAGTAAGAACAAATCGCATTTTTGACGACGTCGATACTTCCTCAGGCGAAAACGAAATAGAAAAGAACCAAGAGAACACAGTAAAGTGCGATGATACATATAAATGGAGAAAGAACGCTTCTGATGCACAAAAATTATCGAATGCGCCGTTTACCAGACCATTTGGCCCAGCAAACCGGTCAATATAAATTCACCATTCGATGTGTTTTCTTTGTTTATGAGCAAAGATATTATAGCTAATATAACTACACAGTCAAATCTCTATGCTCAACAACAAAATCATAATAATCTCGACCTAACTGAGGAAGAACTGAAAGCATTTCTAGGGGTTCTTATAATCATGGGGTTTCATAAACTACCTAGTTTGAGACATTATTGGTCAAACTGATATTAACATGCTCGTGCCAAGAGTTTCGCAAATTTTTACGCAAAAACGATTCTTAAAAATTCTTCGTTTTCTCCATCTAAACAATAACGAAAACATGGAAAGAAATCAAAATAACCCCAATTTTGACAAACTGTTCAAAGTAAGGCCTTTGATAACAGAACTGCAGCAACGCTTTCAAGAGAACTTTTATACAAGTAGAAATGTTGCGGTAGATGAAAGTATGGTTGCTTTTAAGGGGCGAAGTTCTCTCAAACAATATATGCCGAAAAAGCCCATAAAAAGAGGCTTTAAAGTTTGGGTCGTTGCATGCTCCGAAACTGGATACGTGCACAAATTTAGCATATATATGAAGGCAAATCTCAATCACAACATGCTGAATATGGTTTAGGCGCTAAAACGGTATTAGACATTACCGAGTCTCTTAGAGGCGCAAACTACTGCATTTATTTCGATAATTTTTCATCAAGTTTTCCTCTTCTTAAGAAAATGTTAACCTATGATTTGTTCTGCTGTGGAACTTTTAGAATAAATCGTAAAGGCTTTCCAACACAAATAAGAAAGGACAAAACAATGAAAATGGGGAGGAGAACACGATTATTTCAGGTCCAATGATATGTCTATTGTTAAATGGAAAGATCGGAAGCGCAAATGCGTTTTAGTCGGCAGTACTATGCATAATCCACTTGAGATTACTTCAGTTTTGCGAAGAAAACCGAGTGGTGAACAAGAAAGTGTTAAGTGATTACAATCGCTATATGGGTGGAGTCGATCTATTCGATCAACTTCATGCTTCTTATCCAATTTCATGGAAATCCCGAAGATGGTATATGAAGATTATTTACTATTTGATTGATGCAGCAGTGGTAAATTCATTAGAATTACAATAAAAATGAGGTCCATTAAATCGAAATTAATAAGTCACATGTATTTTAGAAGTGTATTGGCCAACGAGCTCATAGGTGATTTCTATAACAGAAAGAGACCAGGACCTAAGGTAACAATAGGAAGAAATAAACTGAAGAAAATGGGAGCAACCACTAATTCTGTTAGCGTTGAAAGCACGGTGAGACTAAGCGATGTTGGCAATCACATGCCAGAAAAAGGAACATCAAGACGTTGTGCACTCTGTTCAACGAGAGCAAAGCCAAAACGTTCAAGTATTAAATGCTCAGATTGCCAGGTTGCATTATGTATTCAATGTTTTCCATTATTTCATAATAAAAATATTTAATTAATGTGTTTTTTCTGTGGTCGATTATGGAACCACAACTACATTTACCAAACTCAACATACCTAATCAGGCTGTGGTCGAAATTTCAACCACTTAAAAAAAACAACAAGGAGTGAAAATAAAATGAAAATACGAATGAAAGTTCAATAACAAATCATTCCTTATCTATAATCTGTAAAGAATTTGTTTATATTACCAAAAAATAATTCTGCCCTATAAAGGGTTAAGACATTTATTTTGAACCAAATAGATAACAGAAAAATAATTTTGTTTTTTCAATTCTGTACAAATTCTATATCTACATTTTCGGCTCTCGTAGATCTTAAAAGGATGTAGCGAAATTAATCAGGAGTTATTTTCTTATCGCGAAATAAATATCTAATAAGGGAAGCCATGTCTGATTCAACACCTCAGACGGTATAGAATAATAGATAGGAGGAGTAATTCTCAGCTTCGTTCAACTCACAAAACTGATAAAATAGAACACATTCAGCGAACCCGTTCTATTGGGTAGTAGTTAGTTAGGTATTCTTCGTTTAACACATCAAAAATGCCTCAAGTGGGTTTCTGCTCGGTCTTTTATATGGCCAGTGGCTGTATAAAAAAAATTGTTGTTAAATACATAAGCGTACTCTAGACAATAGGAGTATATCATTGTCACATGTTTCAGTGTTACTGGATTAAATCTGTGGCTTGGAGCTAAAAGGGCCAACGTTAACATTTTGCTATTTTGAGTACACCATGCCATTCGATTTTCTTTTCTTACAACTTTCATATGTTAAAACGGCCAATGTCAATTTCAACCAATACCCGATCCATAAGTTTAATCGTGGCCAATGTCAAGATGAATGAATTCACATCACGTTAAGCTAAAAGGGTCAAAGTAAACTTTGGCCCTTTTGGTATTATTATTAAGATGAATGAATTCACATAACGTTAAGCTAAAAGGGCCAAAGTAAACTTTGGCCCTTTTAGTATTATTATTTTGTGAAATAAACAGTTGGCGATTGTCTACATTGGTCTTTCTGGGTAGTGTGAAAGGATAGAGAATACTGGATTTTAGGATCCGCCGTGTTGTCGGCTGTCATTATCAGTAGTGCCATTGTCACGTTGAGAAGTTGTACATTGTAATTTCAGTTTTTACGTTGAATTTTAAGAAAAAATGAATGTTAATCTACGGACAAGAAAGATTTTAAAAATGAGTAACACTGACGATTACAGTAATGGTAAGTAATAAGATAAATTTAAAACATTACACTAAAATATTATACTCGCGATTTTGAGATTACATTTTGTTGCGTGGCTAATAATACGACCCGTGTTAATGTTACTTAAGTAATTTGTTGTACCAAAATTACTTTTGAAT